AGATGTGCATTGCCTGAGTAGGGCATGGAGACCTTTAGAAAGAAGTCTAAGTGGATGACGCAGCCCAGGAGAACTGCCAGGCACTGCCACATTGCCTCCTCCATTGCCACTGACTGGAAGAAAGAAACGCGCCAGTGTAAATGGCTATTCACATTGGGACTTGTCCAGTACACAGTGACTAGACAAGGACCAACAAGGACTCAACTTTCAACATGAAACACAAAACCTTGCCTCTGTGGGTGTTAGATTCTCTTAAAAGGCACACAGTGGAGACTTGCAAACTGTAAGATATACTTTATGCTGCTGCTTGGTATTATTCTTACAGTATTAAGACATGGAACACTAGGATTTACAGTAATGATGAAAACTGCCACAGTAACTACTATCGCTTGCAAAGGCAATGTGAAGACAAAAGCTAAAAAGCCCCTATGGGTAGTGTGATTTGACACTTGTTAGAACCATGATTTTATACCTCTAGGAAAGCACCATAAATAAGAAAAACAATTATAAGAAAGTTTATTACATGCATTTTAGACATATAGCTTCTCCAAAAGAAATCAAGCTTTTATTTTCCTATAAACTGAGGTATAAAGAGAAAGTCATAAATAATCAACAATTCCCTCCCCCCTTGGAGTACTGGGGATTAAACTCTTTATGAGTTATAGTTTTTTTTTTTTTTAAACAAAGTCACTGTGAATAAAGTCAGAACCATATATTCAGTTTGTAGAATTTTTGTTTGTTTGTTTTTGGGTACTAGGGATTGAATTCAGGGGCACTTAACTCCTAAGCCACACCCCCAACCCTATTTTTTTATGTTTTATTTAGAGACAGGGTCTAACTGAGTTGCTTAGTGCCTCACCGTTGCTGAGGCTGGCTTTGATCCTCCTGCCTTATCCTCCCCAACTGCTGGGATTACAGGCATGTACCACCACTCCCAGCGACAATTTTAAATAGGTTTCTGGAACACAAATTTGAGATAACTGATTTCTTAACACAGAATATTTGTTGCAAACAGAATACATTTGGGGGGTAGGTACTGGGGATTGAACCCAGGGATGCTTAACCACTGAGCCACAACACAGCCCTTTTTATTGTGAGACAGGGTCTCACTAACTTGCTTAGGCCCTTGCTAAGTTGCTGAGGCTGGCTTTGAACTCAAAATCCTCCTGCCTCAGCCTCCTGAGCCACTAGGATCATAGGCATGTGGCACTTCACACAGCAGAATACATTTAAAAGCAGAAATTTATGGTAAAAAAACTTGATCCACTGAATTAAAACTACTTTAGGAAGTACTAATTCATGCTAGTACTAGTTCATGCACTAACAAAATGAATTATTTCTGGCTTGGTATTTTAGATGATCACCAAAAAGCTAAAATATATAGTGCATATCAGAGATAGCAAATATACAAAAGATGCTAATTGAGGAATTTCTAGCACAAGAGTTTCAGTATCTTGGGTGCTATAATTTATTCTCCTCTTCCATTCCCCCCCACTTTTCAGACTTATTTAAAAAATAAAAAGCCAAGTTGATTCGCTATGGTAAGATTCTTGTTTCCTTCCTCAGTATTTCTTGATTTATGGTGATAAGTTAGATGCATATTTAAAAGATCAGAGAGAAACAAAAGGGCCCAAAATTTGAGATCATATGGGTGAATCTCTAGTAAATCACAACAGTGGACTAAGTATGCTTCATATTTTCACTATTGGTTCCTATATGAAACAAAGAACTGTTAATCTGACTCCAACAGTAAACATTTCCTTTTTATTTTTTTTTTACTTTTTTTTAATATTTATTTTTCGATAGTAGTTGGACACAATACCTTTATTCTATTTATTTATTTATGTGTTGTGCTAAGGATCGAACCCAGGGCCTCGCACGTGCTAGGTGAGCGTTCTAACACTGAGCCACAACCCCAGCCCCAACATTTCCTTTTTAAATAAAGACTTGAGAATTTCTATCCTTGCTTATCAGATCTTGTACAGGGAAGGTGGAAGTATAATGCTTCCTGAATTGAAGAAAATGGAAGAAATCCTCAAACAAAAAAATGAGTGTGAACTAGACATTCTGGAGGAAAGGACTAAATCAGATCATATATATATATGGCAGAATAATAAAATATACTTAGTTTCATAAACTTTCATTAGAGAAACTAAATACTAAACATACTTCTCAATCTGTCTTATACTTCAGAATGAGGGATAAATAAGGGTACAAATGTTCCCCATATAATTTTATACCTAAGAAGCTGGACATGATTTTGTGCATGAAAGCAGTTGTGTATATGTGTATATGTGTGTGTGTGTGTGTGTGTGTGTGTGTGTGTGTATTGGGGAGGGGAGTATTGGTTCCTCAATTGTGAAGCCAACAATTTCAAGTAGGTTTAGTGTCTTGGTCAACTAATTAAAATGCTTTGTACTAGCCTGCATCAAATGAATTACATTTTCTTCTTCCATGTGAACTTTATTTATGAATATGAAATACAACTGCCAAGAGCCAATTTCTTTTCTATACTCTCTAGCTGGTTTCCTTTTAGGAAAAAAAGATTTAAAATACAGCAGATCTACACCATCAGGCTAGCTGCAGGAAATTAACTTCTCTCTGGGCAAGGCAGAAATAAAGTTCTGCATCATTTAGTGCTCTGTAAGGACTGCTATATCAAGAGAGATATCCAACAAATCCCAGAAGTCAGGCTACTAGCTCTTCCTGCTCTATCTCATCATATAAAAATTATAGTTGCTAATGAATACATGCTCTAAGGTCAGAAAAAATGCTTCACATTTTCCAGTGTGATTATAACAAAGAAAAGTAGGCAAGAAGACCCCTGATAAACTAAATGTTAACTCAGTCTCTGAGTGGTCACAATCAAATTATAAATCTTTTGATTATTTGATTTAATTGCTTCTGTTTTAGTTTCAGAGGAATTCTAAAAATAATAGACAACATATTACATTCAGTAAGTTTTCTAAATGAGTGTTAATGGCAAAACAATATAGTTATATTGGCTTGTGACTTTTTTACTCACTAGATTAAATTTAAATAGAAAATTAACTTAATCATTAAACTAAAAGAAATCTATATTAAGGCAAAAATCTTAATTAATGAGTTCAAAAGATAGCTGACTACTTCACAGATTGTATTCCAAGAGATTATTAAAAAACAGTATAAAATTGCAACTGAGGATGTGGCTCAGTGGCTAAGCACCCCTGGGTTCAATCCAAGGCACCAAAAAAAAAAAAAAGAAAGAAAGAAAAGAAAGTAGGGCTGGGATTGTAGCTCAGCGATAGAGTGCTTGCCTAGCATGTGTGAGGCCCTGGGTTCAATCCCTAGAACCCATATGTGAGGATTTTGATTGTACTTAGAGATGGAGAACTTACAGCTGCACTTTCAATATTTATATGCCACACTTAAATCACATACATACAAATATAAAATACAGATAATACATACACCGCCACAACATAAGCATAAAAGCAAAGTGAAGAAAAATACTAGGTTGGCTAAATATTTTTCCTAAAAAAAAATTGTGCTGTTTCTATGAACAGTACATTCTGGGAATTGAACAACTGAGCAAAGTTCATTACCTAATGCTCCAAAAAACAGCACAAACACCTCAAATTTAGATGTCTAGACAATCTGGTCTAATCTTTCAATCCAGAGGTAAACTAAAAATCTCAAATATGCTTTATAATTTTTTTAATTTTAATTTTTTTTGGTTTAGAAATAAATAATAGGAATTTTACTTCCTAGTTTCAAAAGCTAAAATGGCCAGAAACAAGTTTATAAAGAATTTTAAGTTAGAAAAGAAAAACAAATATTTTGAAAGAAAAAAAAAAAGTATCACATCCAATTTCTAAAAGAACATAGCAGTTAAAAACTCTAATAGCTTACTTAAATTTAAAATAACATATAATAATTATTTAAAAGAGATGAGCTTGTTGGACAAGCTTCCTGGGGGCTGACCCAGGAAGATTGCAAGTTCAAAGCCCCCCTCAGCAATAATTTAGTGAGGCCCTAAGCAACTTAGCTAGACTGTCTCAAAATAAAAAACAAAAAGGGCTGAGGATGTGGCTCAGTGGCTAAGCAACCCTGGGTTCAATCCAAGGCACGGAAAAAAAAAAAAAAAAAGAAAGAAAAGAAAGTGGGGCTGGGATTGTAGCTCAATGATAGAGTGCTTGCCTAGCATGTGTGAGGTCCTGGGTTCAATCCCTAGAACCACATAAAAATAAATAAACAAAATAAAGGTATTATGTTCATCTACAACTAAAAATACTAAAGAAAAAGACGAAAAAAAAAAGAAGAAGAGAAAATGAGCTGTTTCCATTCTGGATTTCTTGTAAGAGTTAACATTCTTAGGATGATAAAGTTGTAAGGTTAAATTGAAAGCAATCAGAAAGAACCTGTGATCTTTACTATTTTATGTTCCCTCAGAGCTCGGGCATTTTTCTAAGTTTTCCTGTGCAAATGTGACAAAAACATACACCACTTCTGCCACAAAAGAAAAGCAATTAGTGCACTAAACAATAAAAATTTAGAATGTGAGGGAACAAAATGACTACGTATTTAAGCACAATCTTAAAGGCAAGAAGTGGCAGAAAAATTCTCAGTTTTAAGAGGAAAAACAATCCCTCTGAGCAGTATGCAAAGAACACAAAAAAGAGGAAGCTTGAGGGCCTGGTTTCTGAAATTCCACTTGATATGGCTATGAACAGGCAAAAAGATGAAAATGTATACAAAACAATTCAGGTTAAAAACAGACATAATGCTGGGGCCACTCACTGATCCAGAATTTATAAATGCCAAATTCATTTTTATATCTCAAGGAAGAAAAATGCAATTTAGATGGTATAATGCTCATCCATAAATGAGAAGGCTTTCACCAAGGTTGAAACGCCAGTTCAATACATTTTTCTGCCTGGGATTCCACATCAACTAATCAGCTGGACAGTTAGGAAAATGAAAGGGTAAGACATACATGTAGGCACACAGAGAACAGTTACCTTCAGCTGGTTATTGAAAATATCAATCTCCTGCAGTTTTGACCTAGTTTCTTTCTCCACCTCATCCAGTTGGTCTCGTAGCTGCTGCCGAGCTAGTTCTTTTGCTTCTAAGGCTCTTTTGAGTGTAAGAAGTGAATCTCCTATTTTAGAAAAACAGTGAGAGACAGGAAAAACTTTAATTGGCAGTGAGGGAAATGTTTTTTAACATTTTCATGTCACTTAAGAAAATTCTTGCTGTCTGTAAAAAAGAAAAAGGTTGTGGCTGGGGTGCAGCTCGGCAGTAGAGCCCATAGAGCTGTGCTTGGCACGCATGAGGTGAGGCCCTAGGTTTAATCCCCAGCATATTTAAAAAGAAAGAGGGAGAAAAGGAGGGAGAAGGAGAGAGAAAGGAATTAGAGGAGAGGGAGGGAAAAAGCCAACTTTAAAATTCTGGGGCTGGGGTTGCAGCTCAGTGGCAGAGCTCACACGTTAGGCACTGGCCTCGATATAAATATACATAAATTTTAAAAAATAAAGGTACATCCACAACTAAAAATTATTAAAATAAATAAATAAATAAAATACCTACTGTGCAAACTATTCTGCTGAACTTGTTTTAATTGGTCGTTAAGTATCTGTTTTTCTGGAATAAGTCTTCCAAGCATTTGCTGAGATTCCTAGGGGAGGAGGAGAAAAACAACGGTGAATGACAGGGAACACTCTGATGTCCACACGCAGAATTAGTGCCTAAGTCAGTTTTCTTGACCCTCAGAGATACTCCTGAATGGCTTGAATAGCAGAGAGGTTAGTCAGCTCTTCCCAAGTCCTTATGGTGAACCACATTTAACTGCTAGTCAGGGTGACTCTTGCTTTCTTGCCAAGGAATAAACTGTTTGCCAAGTGTTTTTCACTAAAATAAAGTTAAGACAGTTATAGCTTCCTTGGTATTGCTTACATTCTTGTTGTCTCACTGGACATTTATAAGCTTTTAAAGATAGCACTTCAAAAACACTGTGCACACAGAAAACAGAAGTGAGGATCTCTCAATTGCATGGAGATCAAGTATAAATACAGTGGCCCAATTGCTTGTAAACTAATTTGGTAGGAATTACTCTGTTATTATAATCTGAGCTTTAATACTTAATAGGGCAGAATTTAGGTTTATGATATACCTGAAGTTGGGAACAAAACAGATTTTTAACCACTAGAATCTTAACTGCTTCAAATGTGCATGTTTTTCTGTCACAAAGAATGGAACTTTAAACAGGTACATAAAAGTCTTGAACCACCTTTATTTTAACTGACACAATGAAAAAAACTAAAACCATACTGTACAAATGCTATTTGGAATTTTTTTTGTGGGGTTACCAAGCACAGTATTTGCTTAAGTTCAGTTGTAAGTATCCTCTATAGTTTCTACACACTTCAGTAAAATGGTAGGCTTTTCAGATATAAGAGGCACCATGGCTACACCTGTGATCCCAAAAACTAGGAGGCTGAGGCAGGAGGATCCCAAGTTTGAGGCTAGCCTCAGCAACCAAGTGAAACCCTGTCTCAAAAATGGGGAAAAAACAAACAAACAAACGTGGGAATGTAGCTTAGCAGTACTGTGTCCCTGGGTTCAATCCCCAACACAACATGAAACAACACAACATGAAACAATACAACAGATATATAGGGAATATTTGACTTTTATTTTTACCTTTATAAAAAGTGAACTCTAAGTATTGACTTTTGGCTTGAAAATATAAAAGTGCCATAATTAAAAATGTTCAGGGCTGGGGATGTGGCTCAAGTGGTAGCGTGCTCGCCTAGCATGCATGAGGCACTGGGTTCAATTCTCAGCACCAAGTAAAAATAAAATAAAGATATTGTGTCCACCTAAAACTAAAAATAAATATTTAAAAGATTGTTTTTCAGAGCCAGCACATGAGTTTAAGACTTCCCTGAGAAACAGAAAGACCATGTCTCAAAAAATCATCAGAGGCCAAGAACCTCTCTTTTGGAACATCCACCTTTAGGTACAGACTAGCCTATGTGGAAAAAAACCTTCATATACTATTGGCCCATATGGCAAAGACGTCAGCTCAACAGAGGATTTAGAAGCCTCCTTTTCTATAAATAACCCCCAACACACACACACACACACACACACACACACACACGAAAACTTCATAGAACAGAATATATAAACCAGTCATTTTCTCAAAAAAAGCAAAACCAACTGAGTTTTCCCTTTTATTCTCCTTCCTATTTCCCAATCCCAAAGTTTCTTTTCTGAACTAAGACAAAGAAATATCAAGACAAAACCTAACTCATATCACTGAGATTGTTTTACTTATATAAACATTACTTTAAGGTGTATAACCTAAGTTTATAAAGTAGGTCAAACCAATATTAAGGGATACCCAACTCATTTGCAAAGTTAAGTATCTGCTAATCCATGAAAGGAAAGTGAACCAATATCTCCTTGCCTGCTATGTCCCTTTATTTCTTCTAATTAGGTATTATTTTCCCATTCACTACTTTAAGAATCCTGACTTTTATTTATTATCAATAACTGAATATTCTAAACATCAGTCATAAATAATAAGTGTGTTTGTTCACACAACATTCTGTGATAAATTGATACTGAAACTAAACACAAGACCTTTAACTCTAAATTTTCCAGGGGACTATCTTATGAAACTTTTCATCAATAGTTAATGAAAGACATATAAACAGAGTTAATTAGCATTTAGAAGGTAACCAATATCTTTCATGAATTTAAATGAAAAGATCCTTAATAAACAAGAGCAAGTTGAATATTCTAAAATATTCTATGGCCAAGTGTGGTGTACCCCAGCAATGGAGGTTGGTTTTACATTCAAATTGCAATCAACATAAATCTTCATCTAAACAGAGTAGAAGAGAAAAAAACACCACACAATCATCTCCATAGATGCCCCAAACAAAAACAAACATGGCCCGATGTAATATCTATTCAAGATCAAGTAGCAATAAACAGAAGGCAAGTCCTTCACCTGATGAAGGGCATCTATAGAAAACCTAGTTACCCTTCCTTATTTGTGACAGAGTTTTCCTTCTAAGACCCAGAATAATGTTCTTAGCACTTCTCTTCAACATAGTTCTGGATGTCCTGGTCAACTAAGTAAGGCAAAAAAAAAAAAAATCACATTTAAATTTATGAAGGATATTGAGGATGTTGGTTTTATCCTTGTCTGGTTTTGGTATCAGGGTAATGCTGAGCTCAGAAAATGTTAGAGAATATTCCTTCCTCTTCTATTTTAAAATGTTTATGTTGAAATGATATCTCTTCTTTAATTTTTGGTGACATTTATCAGTGAGGCCTTCTAGGTCTAGGATTTTCTTTGTGGTAGGATATTTAACAGTAAATTTACTTAATAGATATATAAATATTCAGGTTTTTTGTTTCTTCTTCACTCTATTTTGATAATTTGTATATTTCAGTGAATTTATTTTATCAAAATTATTAGACTTATTTACATAGTTGTTTATAGATATAAAAGGCATACAGTTTAGAAAATGAAAAATAAAGCTGTCTTTTTTCAAGCATGGCAAGTTTATATAGCTAAAAACCCCTAAAGAATCTACAAAACATTCTTTTAGAAATAAGATACAGGAAGCCAGGAACAGTGGTGCATACCTGTAATTGCAGCAACTCATGAGGCTGAAGCAGGAGAATAACAAGTTCAAAGCCAGCAGATTAATTAGCGAGGCACTTAGTAACTCAGTGAGACCCTGTCTCTAAATAAAATATAGAAAAGGTCTAGGGATGTGGCTCAGTGGTCGAGTGCTCCTGGGCTCAATCCCCAGGTACCAAAAAGAAAGAAAGAAAGAAATAAGACACTGGAGCTGGGGATATAGCTCAGTGGTTGAGCACTTGCTTGCCTAGCATATGTGCAATCCTGGGTTCCATCCCCAGTACCGCAAAAAAGAAAAACAAACCCTGAGAAATTAGCTAAACAATAACACAGAAAAGAGAAAAAAAAAAAAAAAACACAGAAAAATAACTATAAAAAATAAATTCTATTTTTATATACTGACATCATATAGTTGGAAACTGAAATAAAAAATAGGCAATATACAATTGCATTGACCACAGAATACTTAAGGAAAACTTTTAAAAACACATATAAAACTACAAAAATATGAAAACTACAAAAATATGCTGAAAGAAATTTACAACCACCTAAATAAATTGAGAGATAATCTATAAAACTCAATATTGTTAAATGTCAAATCTTCCTGAAATGATCAATAAATTCAAAGGAATTGCAACAATGTTCTACAAAAATTTTTTTAGTTCTATGTATTTTTGAAGGAAAAAAAAAAACAAATAAAACTGACATGCTAATTCTGTAATTTTTATGGAAATGACTTAGAATAGCCAAATTTTTTTTTTTCAAAAAGAATAACAATAACAGGGTACTCAAACTTGATTTCAAAAACCAGAATAAGGCTATAGTTATCCATGGAGTAAGGTGATGGTGAAAGGATAGATACAGATTAAAGGAAGAGTTCAGAACAGACCTTTTATAAATATATGCAACTGCTTTTCCACAAGCTACCATGGAAATTTAATGGGAAAGCCAAGTGTTTTCAATAAATGGCACTTGGTATATATATACGGAGAAAAATGAACATCAACTTCTAACTTAGGACCATATGCAAAAACCAACGTGAAATGGATTATAGACCTAAATATGTAAAACATAAAACTTTTGAAGGAAAACAGAAGAAAATGTTGCAGTCATGGGGCAAAGATTTCTTAGAACACAAAAAGCATGATCATACAAATAAATTAACAAACTAAACCTTATCAAAATTTAAAACTTCTGTCCTTTAAAAAATAGTATTATGAAAATGAGAAGCAAACCAAAAGTTGGGAGAAAATATCTGCAGATCATGTATCTGACAAATGACTTGTTGACAAAAATTTATATAGAAGTCTTACAATTCAATAGTAAGGAAAACAACTCAACCAAAAACGGACAGGCAAGTTCAGATAGTTTGAAGATACACAAATGATACCATGCAACATGTAAAACGATGACCAACATCATCAGTCTTCATGGAAATGCATATACAAGAAAAAATGAAATATATTTGCTGCATACCTACCAGAAAAGTCAAACTTTAAAATAATGACAACACCAAGTATTGGTAAGGATGAGAAACCATTGTATCACTCACAGATTGCTGATTAGAATGTGAAGAGGTACAAATAATTTCTACCATTGACAGTTTTGTGGTAGGGGGGTTTAAAGATAAGACTTATATGGCACAATTACACTCCAAAAAATTTGCCTTGGAGAAATAAGTTATAATTCCACAAAAATACTATACATAAATATTCATTGTAGTTTTAGTTATGAAAATCCCCAATTAGAAAGAACCCAGATATTAATCAACAGGTGAAGGGATTAGTAAATATTACTCAGTGATAAAATGAAACAATGTACTTATTCACTCAACAACATTGAAAAATCAATCTTGAAATCATCATGCTGAGAAAAAGAAGTGAAAGAGTCACTGTGGTCAAATATGATGATCTGCAGGTAATATCTGCATGAATTTGATGCCCCTGTAGTTCAATGCTTGATACCAAACTAGGTGAGATAACAGTTCAATCATACCAGGTGAGATAATAGATGAGAGGTAAATGAAGGCAAAATTGCCACTAGCACACTATCAAGTCTCAAGTCTTACCCTACACATCTTTCTTACATCCCACTAAAATCTTAATTGCACCTATTTACTAGTCTTGTATGGTCTGGCCTCCACCTGGCATCCCAGAAGCCTGCTACAGCCTCAGGTCACTGGTGGCACTGCTGTATCCCTACCTAAAACTTGTTCTGCCATAGTTTAGTCCATCACAGACTTCAAATCTGTGCAAATGTCACCTTCACAAAAGGCCTACCCTGACTACCTTAGTTTAAATCACAACACTGCTAACCACCAGGACTCTCTACTGCCTTCCCTTCTACTGTCCTTGGCACTTTTCATTTTCTCATAGATACAAACTTTATAGTTCTGTTAGTATGTGTCCCTCTTGCATACAGAGGGTAAGGTCCATTCAGCTCACTCTCGGTGTCATTTCCGTTGCTCAACACTATAGCCTCAGTACCTAAAAGACAGCCCAGCACCTAATAGTGTGTAGCAAACACTTGTTGAGTTTGTTTACTTGACAGTTGACTTTTAAGAAAAGGACCCCACCCTCTTCACCTTTTTTCCCCAGAAATCTAGTATATGGTAGATGCTTACTGTTTGTTGAATGAATAAATAAATAAAATGAATCAGAGGCAAGCATGTAAGCCTAAAATCTTTTGTGATACATTGTTTTCTTACCTGTAACTGTTGCTGCAAATGGGTGATTTCAGCAATTCTCAACTCTCTAGATTTGTTTGTACTCTCAATTTCTTGCCTTTGGGTGGTTAATCGACATCTGATATCTTGAAGTTTTCCTTCTAACTGATGCTTTTTATCATTCTTTAACAAATGAAAGATAAAAGGAATTATTACCATTTTTAATGGTTCAATGGTAGTATATATCCAAAGCATGATCAAATATCACTCACTAGAGCTTCTAATTCAAATTCCAAAGTCTTTTTCTTTGCTTTCAATACAACTATGTCCTCTTGTTCTTTATTTCTTTGATTTAAAAGTTCTTGCCTTCGGTTCCGTTCCCATTCAAGTTGTCGTTGTCTCTCAAGTTCCCGTTTCGCAGCCTGTCAAAGTCACAGTTTATTAATTTTTCAGTTCTTATGCTCTAACATGTCTCTTAACAAAAGTATCATGTAGTAAGTCTTTCCTTTTAAGGATGAAATATAGACATTACAAGAAATTATATCATAAAGCAATAAAAATTTTTATAAAAATCAGTGCTCCTTCTAAGGAAAAAAAGGGAATATTCAGAACTAATTATATTTACATAAGATGACAACCAACAGGATCATTTCACATTGGAATCTCATTCTTCATGCCTTCCAGAATGCATGATATACTAAATAAAAGTGCTCCTTTTTATTTACAGACTCACAAATAGGAAGGAAAATTTCTTTAGTAAAATCAAGTTTAAATCTAAACAATTCTAAATCTAAATCAATCTTAAATCTAAGAACTAAAACAAACAAAACTTGTTTTTTTCCCAACAAAAGAGAAACTATTATTTACAGTTAAGCTTTCCTTATCCAGAATGCTGGGACCACAAGTGTTTCTGGTCTCAGCAGTTTTCAGTTTTGGAATATTTGTATAGATTTTGCTGTTGGTAGTGTGACTGCCTCTTACTCAGCAAGCTCCCAATCACACTGCAAAGTCCCGGAGGCCAAGTGGCACATCTAGTCATCACTGAAACTCCAGGGGCTAGCAATGCATAGCAATAGTAAATCTGTCTACTAAACAATTCTGAATAAATACTTTAAAAAAGGAAGGTAGTATGCCTTTCCATTGTCCATTCTGGTAACTGAAATCTTTTGGGGTGGAGAGTGGAATGCATGGTTGGCCTGTGCAATGCATAGGCTTCAATCTCCAATACCAAATAGATAAATATCTAAAATTTGTTAGCATCTGTGTGTATTTGCTTGAACAAAAGGCAGCTATGGCTACATACTGTCTAGAGCAATCAGCAGGAGATGAAACCAAAGTATTTTTTTAATAAAGAAAAATTCCTCATCTTTATATTTCATTCATGTGAAAAGAATCATAGCTTTGCTTCTGTAGTAATATAGTAAAATTGTGAAGTTGAACAAGAGATTGACTTGGTCCCTTTCCAGATCTGACACCATAGAATATATGAAGATTTCCCAGACATATTTTTAGGGGGGCAGGGGAACAGTCTCAAAACAATACAATGGCTTTGATAACACCAAGTGGTTTAAAATTATACAACCTCCACCCATGCCACCACATAAATCTTTACATTTTTATATAAATGTGTAAATACAGAGAAAAGAATCTGGAAAAACACCTAACTGCTCTCTTAGTTTGTTATAAGACAGTGCAATAAAAAAACTTATAGAAGAATGTTGATATTAGCATTTGTAATAGCTAAAAAAAAATAACTCAAAGTTCATCAACTTATGAGTAGATAAATGAAACGTAGTATATCTATAAAACAGAATACTACTCAGCCATAAAAAAAGGATAAAATACTGATTCATGCTAAAATATGGATGAACCTTGAAAATGCTAGGCAAAGTGAAATCTAGACACAAAAGGCCACATACTGTACAACTTCCAGAACAGGTAAATCTAGAGAGATAAGGAAGTGGTTGCAGGGGCTGGGGGCAAAGAGGAATGGATAATTACTCCTTAGTGTAAGGGGTTTCTTTTTGGGATGATGAAAATGCTCCAGAATAGACAGTGTGATGGTTGTGTAACTTTTGAATACACTACGATCTCCAGATTATTAAAAGGAAAAACAACAGCCTAGTGGGGCGGTTACATGCTTGTAATCCCAGCTACTCAGGGGACTGAGGCAAGAGGATCACAAATTCAAAGTTGGCCTATCTGGGCAACTTAATGAGACTCTGTCTCAAAAAAAAAAAAAAAAAAACAGAAAGAGAGCTGGGTTGTGGCTCAGCAGTAGACTGCTTGCCTAGCATGTGAGAGGCCCTGGGTTTGATCCTCAGCAACACATAAAAATAAATAAAATAAAGATATTGTGTCCAACTACAACTAAAATATAAATATTAAAAAAAAAAAAAAGGAAGAAAGAAGGGTTGGGGATGTGGAATAGTGGTAGAACACTTACCTAGCATTTATGAGGCCCAGTGTTTAATACACACAAAAATTAAAAATTAAAAAGGAAAACAGACTGCCCTACATTAATACATCATTTGAATAATTCTACAAGAGAAAGACAAAGCTCATGTGTTTATTACAAGGTTGTCCACAGCTGCTTACCTCTCGCCTCTCAATCTCTTTCCTCCTCTCCTCCTCTCTCTGCCGTTCCAGTTCCCGTTGCTTTTCCAGTTGCTTCTCCAGCTCCAGTTGTCTTTTGCGCTCTTGCTCCTGGCGCTCCCGCTCTTTCCTCTCCTGCTCGGCCCGTTCCAGCTGAGCCAAGCGTTCTTGCTCTTTGCGCTGCTGTTCCAAGAGAGCTTGTCTGCGTTTCTCCAGTTCTAGATTGCCACGTTCAAAATTTTCCCGCTTCTTATCTTCAAATGTTACTTTAAAAGGAACAACAGATCAATTAGGAAAAGCCATTATTTTCAAAGAAAAAATGTATTAGCATTTTGAAATCTACAGTACAAACCCAAATCCAGAACTCCCTAAGTTTCCTTACTGGGCCCTTGTAGTGAGCACTACAAACAGGAAACAGAAAGGTTAGGGAAGAGTTGCCCCTAACCTTTGTACTACCATCCATGCCACACACTATTTCTACAAAAATATTTCAATAATTCTGTATTTACACCCAATTCCTCTCCTCTCCTGCTACTCTACCCTTTCCCTTCTTCATGCCCTGCTTCAGCAAGTGACCCACCATCTCTTCTGCATCATGAGTCTCTCCTTCACCTTAGCTTATAACTGCACTGTCTGTCTCCTGTTTGAACAAGGTGACTTCTCAAATCAGGGGTAGAGAACAAGTATTGCATGGTTCACACTGAAGAAGCTGCTCTGCCCAGATTCTTAAATGGACCGCAGTCAGTAAATATTTTTTTCTAATCCATTATTTTGTTTCCTTCTGTGACACACTTCTATAAATTTTTAATTCCATCATTTTTCTCTTATCCTTTTTACACCTTTGTTTTCATCTATTTTATTTTATTTACTTCTAAATATTCCATCCCCTTCCTGTTTCCAGCAGTGTGTATTCACCTTTGTGTTGCCTCCTATACATCTCCTTGGTATCCACCCCAGACAAGGGAAACTCTCAAGGCTGGGAAAGTGACTAGGTGGTAGAGTTCTAGCCTAGCATGAGATCACATTTGGTGATTTCAGAGGTGGCACTATCTTCTTTACTCGGCCACCTTAAAACTTCAAGTCCCTTCACTCAGGGAATGAGTCAATGATCCTTACAAAGGAATCTCTGCTAAGTGAAAGAAGCCAGGTACAAAAGGTCAAATATTATATGATTCCAATTATATGAACTACCTACCATTGTTAAATCCAAAGAAACTGAAAGCAGATTGGTGGCTGTCCGGGGCTGGGGTGAATGAGAATGGAGAGTGAGTGAGTAGGGTATTTTCTTTTGGAAGAAGAGAGGGGTGGTGTTTATACAACTGAGAGTAATAAACACCATTATTATAGAATAAATGTACAGCCCCTACCACACACCCAAATTCATGTTACAGCCTTAACTACACCAATGTGATGGTATTTGGAAACATCTTTGGGGATAATTAGGGTTAGATTAGATCATAGAGGTGGGGCCCCATGATGAGATTAGTGACCTTATAAAAAGAGAAAGAAAAAGAAGGTCACTCCCCCACACCCATGCATACACCAAGGAAAAGCCATAGGAGGACACAGAGAGTAAACAGCTATCTACAAGAGTGCTCTCACCAGGAACTAAACTGCCTGGGCTCTGATCTTGAACTTCTAGCCTTTAGCACATGAGAAATAAATCTCCACAGTTTTAGCCTCACACTGTATGATATTTTGGAGTGGTGGGCCAAGGTGAAAAGCCACTAGATTATACAGTTTAAAATGTTCAATTTGGGGGCTGTGGCTGTAGCTCAGTGGCAGAGCGCTTGCCTAGCATGTGTGTGGTAGTGGGTTTGATCCTTAGCACCACATATAAAGAAACAAAATAAAGGCATGCTGTTCATCTACAACTACAAATTTTTTTTTTTTTAAAAAGATGCTCAATTTTATAGTATGCATATTTCATCTCAATTTTAAAAACACTGAAAATCTTTATACATCTTTTTTATTTAGTGTCTGGCACTATTCCTAGTATATAGGAGGCACATCATAAATGGTTGTGGAAAGAATCAATGCAAAAAAAAAATACTCAATGTCACATCCTGTTCAAAATCCAAAATGAATGCTTACTACTAATAGAAAAAGAAAATTCCAAATTCTAAGAATTCTTGTCCTTATCCCATTGAGGATTCATTTTCATTGTTTTCAAAAGTTGACATGTTCCTCACATCCACTTGTAGTGACCCTATTTATCCTCAGGTTTTCACTTAACTGTGATCTAGACCATGGGGATTTAATTCCTCATGTCCTTTTCAGTATACCACAACCAACCATAAGTAGCTTTGCTGTGCATCTACAAACTCTCCAGGACCTTATCACACTTATGTACTTACTGTTTTAGCAATTGTTTATATGGATAACTTAAATTTTCTAATGTAAGTTTCTAGAGAGTATGGACCATGTATGATTAGCATTTAGATTCTTCCAGCCTTGCACACAGAAAAACTATAATAAGTATTTCATCACTAAACATAAGTGAAAAGTTATTTAGTTTACAGAACAGTCTGGAAGAGCTTGTGTTCTCAGCAAACTAATTAATGGTTGTGGAATGCTGAGCACTTTACTGCAGCAAAATGATATTGACAAAGTATTTAATATAAAGAGACTTCATAGCAAATTTCAATTGCCTCTTAGTATCATTATCATCTCATCATTAATAATTCATAGCCAACTTGGACTTTTTAGTAGTATGATAGATTTACCATTGTAAATGAGGATTATTTAAAACAGGTTCACATTAAATTTAAAGTGGGTTCCTGCTGCTAAGGAGTTTCTAATTCTTCTGTAACACATCAAGAATGCTATAGTAGTCGACTTTATTTTTTGCTTCTGCACTGGCGGTCCTAAGAAACCATCTAACCGCAAATTTTTAGTGTTCTATATTCCATAGATAACATTAATAAAATCTTTGTTTAGCAGTATATAATAATACTTTAAGTTAAAAACTAGAATAAGGGGACTCGGCATATAGCTCAGTTGATAGAGTGCTTGCCTCCATGTACAAGGCCCTGGGTTCAATCCCCAGCACCACCAAAAAAAAAAAAACCCAACTAGAATAAGGATGCACCAGCAAAGTACACATGTTCTTATTTCTCTACACAGATCCAAATCTAAAAGCACATTAAACGTCTTTTTCTGATATGCTCAAAGAAATACAGAAATGTCAGAAGCTAGATTTATTTTTACTTCCATTATGCTTTACAGATAGAAAATCTTTAATCTGATGTGTAAGCCAAATGTAAAGGCTGCCTTACCAGGTAATTTCTTTTCTAATTGTTGCTGTTCATCTTCTAAAGCTGGTTCCTCTGGTAACCTCTGATCTACAGATGTTGAGCTTATAACAGATATTCCACTGCCTGATCGAACTCTTCTGTAATTATGAAGAAAAAAGAAAAGAAACAGATCCACATAAAATGAGGTAGGTAGAAACAAGCTACGAAAAAGAATTTTTAGATTACACCATATCATGGAACAAATTTCATTTACAGTGAGGAAAGACAGAGTTTGGACTTCTTTACTCTGTAGTTTTTAAAATGAATATTTGAATGTCATCAGATTCTGAGTGTTACCTTATTCAAAATGTTGGGAATGAGGGTGTGGCTCAGTGGTAGAGCACATGCTTTCCATGTGCAAGGTCCTAGGTTTGATCCCCTGAACCCCCCACCCCAACTCCTGGCAAGGGAAAAAACCATAAAAATTAGGACAATTCAAAAGGGCTAAATTAGCTTATAATCATAAAGTATCTGGTAAACAGTGAGCACCCAGTGAGTCTCATGCTACTACCGTTACCTTTGTGAGTAACTTTCAATCCCTTCCAGGAAAGATCAGCAGCTCAGTGATTTGGGAGCAACTGTTTTCCTTATACAAAAATTTCTCCATTTAATCACTTCCTGAACACACGAAATGTCTGTATTTTATAGTTTTGAAATACACTTACTTTACTGATCAGTATCACTATGTTTAAACTTGCTCTTTCAAAACAATCTCCCCATCCTTCTTTTTACACTTTCAATAGTTTCCAATGTTCAATTTCTCCTGTAGTGAACCCTGCAGCTGTGAGATTTTATAGGCAAATGCTTCTTCAGCTGTCCCTTGCTTCTTCTGCACTCAGTTTCTCAGCTTGCTCCTGCATGAGGACAGTGTGGACAGTGATGGCTATTTATCCTCACAAGTCTTTCCTGAAGTTTGAGGACCCAGAACAGAAGTATGTCTTTGTTTCTCTTCTTCTTTGCGCTTGTGGGATCTCATATTCATCTTCTACATGTAAAGCCATGAGTTGGAGCTGTATTGGATGCTATGTGTGTATGCATGTAGGCATGCCAGTGGGGTCCCAACTAGACCCTGGGGGACACTCTTGACATGTCGACTGAGACTATTTCAGACAAAGATAATTTTCTTTAATTATCTTTCTGATTGTAATTTCTGAATTGCTAGCATTTTTTGTTATCTGTGGAATGTGTATAATACACACCTTGCTTTATTTCCTATATATGGGCTTATTCAGTTTTCAATTATATAAGTTCATACAAAAATCTTTTAATGTTTTATTTGATTGCATTTACTAATATACTACAAATACCCTGTAGAACAGAAAGGCCCAGAATTAAGACAGAACCTGGACTGGAAGATTCTCTTGAATTCACAGATATTTCATTTACTTGCCAAGAATGGAAATCACTATAAGATGGTCAACAAAGCCAATTTGGAATTAACATACTCAATGCAATGCATAATTCCTTACAAAAGCCAAATGTTCCTTACCTAAAGGAAGGTGGAATGTATTCTGGAGGCAGGACAGGTGGCAGTGGTTGGCCAGACATAGCAACATCAATTAGGTGCATAGCCAGGATAAATTCTTCTGCTGTGAGTTTTCCATCTTGATCAATGTCAGAAAGATTCCTAATTCAACAAAAAAGTTTCATTTCCAGTTTCATAAAAATGCATGCATTGCTGATTTATTTTAGTTCTGTATTATAATTCTTATTCTAGGCCAATTGAGTCTACCTGCCTCAGTTTACAATTATTTCATACCATTACAAGAATAAAATGAAATATTTTGTATAGTTAGGATAGTGTTCAGTACTCAACAAATGCTAAGATTGCAATAATACTCTTCTCAGTCCTGGGAATGTGACCTATTTAAAATATGTCACATTCAGGGTGAGGTAGCCAATACTGTATGGTTTGTAAGATAATCTCTATCATGCTGAATTCTGCCCTTGCGGCAGCCATAGACAATATATAAATAAACAGGTATGGCTGTTTTAACAATAAAAATTCATTTACAAAAACAGGTGAAGGCCAGATGTGGCCTACTGGATAGGCTGCCCAACCTCAATACATGCCTATTAGGCTGGATCTCTATGGCTCCTATTCATAGAGTTAAGGTCTTTCCTCCTCATTCTAGGGATTCAATTTCCATCACTCTTGACAATGAAGTTGCCCAAGTAGTTAATTACAGTAAACAGATTTTCCTAGCAAGTACCAGAATGTGATTTTATTTAACAACTTCAAGATACCAAAAGAAGATGCAAGACAACACATCTGTTAACCAGAATGTTAAAAAGACAAATGCTACATTAGGAAACTGGCCTTGCCAATGGCAAAACCCAAGAAGCTTTTCTCTTAATTATGATATTTCTTTAGGTCCATAAATCTATTATTATTACTATTATTGTAACATTTGCCCTTTTGAAAGTACAATTCTGCGAGGTTTGACAAACATAGCTATAGAACCATCACCACAGTACACAGAACAGTCAACACCACCCATAATCCCCACATCTCCCTCCAGTCCAACTCTTCCCTTTCCCCCACCCAGGCCCTGCCACCCCTTTTCTGTCCCTCTAGTTTTGCCTGTCCCAGATGCCAGACAACCATTTTTAAAAAGAATAGAGCCACAAATGAAAACCCTTCCTGCTGATTCTTATCCCCCTTTTCTTTTCACACCCCACAGTTAGCTACTCCTAGGTAAATCCCTTAGAATTCTTTTTTTCTTCATAATTGAATAATTATGGTTGCAAATATTTAATTAAAGTATCCTGGCCGGGTATGGTGGCGTGCACTATGTGATCCTAGTGGCTCAAAAGGCTAAGGCAGAAGGATTCTGAGTTCAAAGCCAGCTTCAGCAAAAACAAGGCGCTAAGCAACTCAGTGAGACCCTGTCTCTAAATAAAATATAAAATAGGGTTGGAGATGTGGCTCAGCGGTAGAGTACCCCTGAGTTCAATCCCTGGTACCTCCCAAAAAAAGAAATATCATTTTAGTGTTTGAATTAAGAATACAACATTCTAAAAAGAGATGCCTCAAATGTGTTTTTTGGAAGACGAATTATAAATTTAAAATAAACGTTTCAATTTCTTCTTTTTTTTGGGTACTAAGGATAGAACCCAGGGGTGCTTAACTACTGAGCCACATCCTCATCCCTTTTTATTTTTCATTTTGAGACAGGGTCTCACTAAGTTGTTAAGACTGGCATGGAACTTTTGATCTTCCTGTCTAGGCCTCCCTAGAGGCTGACCAGCATTAGAGCTCAGTCACTTGAGAAGAAACTAGATCAATATTCCCTGTGTGAAAGTCATGAATTTGGCATATGAGCAGTGTAAACCAAATCCATTTTCTAGGCATAGTCATCAACATGTAACTAAAAGATACACAACAATAATATATGCAGAAAAGCTCAAAATTAAGCAATTACATAATATTTTTTAAAATTTTTAAATATGCATGGTTTGTTAAGAAACTATTCTTATTAACATCTAAATGTAAGAAAACCTATAAGACCTAGACAATACCCATCAAGAGCTATTAAAAATTATCACAGAATAGAGGCTGGTGATTAGTTTAGTAGTGGTAAAGCATTTGCTTAGCATATATGTTCAATCTCCAGCACTGAAAATAACAAAACAAAAACCATTGCAAAATAGGCAGACATTATATGCCTTCTGATTAAAGTACTCAGGTAACATCTCTGATGTAGGCTTAACAAAAGACAAAACAACAACAACAACAACAAAAAAAAACCCACAACTATAAAACTCAAACTGTGGTTCTCAACCAAGAATGATGTTGAACTCCAAGGGAAATTTTTGTCAATGTCTGGGGATATTTTTGGTTGTTATAACTGGGGGTAGGCATCATGCTACTAAATGTAGCATCTACTGAACAGGGGCAACAGATCCTACTAAATACCTGCCATGAGCTGGACACAGTGATGCATGCCTATAGTCCAAGCACTTGGGAGACTATGGTGGGAAGATCGCCCAAGCTCACAAGTCAGACACCAACCAGAGCAACATAGTGAGACCGTACTAAACTACCTCTCAAAACAAAGAAAATATTCTACAATGCTTAGGACAGCCCTCTGCAGTAAAGAAATTAGTGGCCCTAAATGTCAATAATGCAAAGGTTGCAAAATCTTGTTCTAGATCCAATTACCAATTCATGGGAAATACAGGAACAAGTTAAACACCACCACAGGAATGCAATCTTCAAAAGTTAGGCCACTAAAAACTATATACCAGACTACGTGTTTTTAAGGGGGTCCAGGGGACAGATGGAAAAGGGAAAATTTATAGATTAAAAAAGATTTTAAAAAGATACTGCAAAGTAGGAACTGGAAGCAGAGCTAAACAGTATAGCACATGCTTAGAAAGCATGAGGTCATAGGTTCAGTATCCAGCCCGGGTGCACACGCACACTCACACACACAAAAGCAAGGTATACAGGAGGTCAGGGGTCTTATGTTTTCTCTCATATGTGGAAGCTAAAGAAAACTGGGGGCAGATCTCATGAAAATCATGATGAGATGAGTACAGGAAAAGGACCAAGGGCTGGAGGGCAGGGAGGGAGGGGAGAGTGCTGGGAAGTGATATTGGCCAAATAATATGCCCTGTTATACCGTATGCATGTATGAATATGTAACAACAAATCCCATTATTATGTACAACCACTATGCACCAAAAAAAAAAAAAAGAGGTGGGGGAAAAATAAGCAAAGTATAAATTTATATTAGTCCTCCTTTGAACAAAGAAACTTAAAAACTAAGTTAATCTAAGAAATTTGAACACTACTTGATTAACTTGGTAAGAATGACTATTAAAATCATGGTTTTAATGATTTTAAATCATGGTATTATGACTATAATTTTTAAAATTCCAATCTATTTGAAGACACCAGATGAAATATTCACACATGAAATGATATAACTGAGAGCTGGCTTAAAATAATCACCAAGGAGGAAGAAAGAACCAAGCCATAGTTGAGAACTGTTAAGCTGTGTTATTAGTTCTTAAGAATTCACTGTATTAACCTTTCTGCTTTTGTGTTTTTCAAAATTAACAGGGAAAAAGAGCGGCAATCATCACAACTCTCTGAAAATTAAGTGTACTCCAAATATTCTCCCCTAAATAATGATGCTAATCTAAAAACCAATTTAAGAAATAAAGTCTCCACTTGATACAAACCAAGGTTTTCTATTCCTTACCATATTGAAGCCAGCTGAGCCTGTGGTAAACTCGATTGCATAAGAATAGTTCTTGCTTGGGGACCTGAATAGAAACCAGAGAAAAGACATAAAGATGAGTCAGCAAATAACCCCTGCTCAGGAAGACCAGTGTGGCTGTGCTTATGAACCATGCAATCTCATGCAATCACAGAGCTTTACACAGTATTTGCTATTACCCTGGGGCTTTTAAAAAAGGAAATTAAGCCCTAGCAAAAGTAAAGAAACAAAGATGACAGTGCTGCATCTGACACACAATACATTTTTGCTCAATGGGTGTTTAATAAGGAATGAGTGTGTAAAAGATGAGAGTTTCAAAATATAACCTGTTCTTTTGTCCAGATTAACATTTCTATTTGTATTGGGCTTTTATTTACAAAAGTGAGACTTTATCACTATAAACTGAACATCTTCTCCATGGTCACCATCTGCTGCCTTCACCGTGACTATTATCACATAAATTCAGAGAAGATTTACAATATCTTAGTTAAGGAAAGGGCCTTGGAGGGACTTCTAATCATTCACTGTACAGACTTTAAAAAAAAAAAAAAATTGAATTGAAGGTTGCACAACTGGCTAATATCATAGCCAGGACTAGAACAAAATTTCTATGTTAGCAAAAATAGAAATACTTCCTGGAATTTCTACTCTTCTTTCAAAATTAGGTCTCATTTTCTTAAAATAACTGCAAATATCTTCATTTCTGGCAAGAAATTAGCTTTATATATCACATAGAAAATACAATGGGAGATTTTTGAGTGTTTAAATTAGTATGAGCGAGACAAAGACACACACACACACACACACACACACACCCCAAATATGTCTTAATTCCAGCACTGCCTGTCAAGCTGTGTGGTCCCAGGAAGATCCAAGGAACAGAAAGCTGTAGTAATTCTGTTGGCAAGATTCCCATGTATAAACTTTTACTCTTAGCTATTTCAGTTTTCAAATACCACCTCTTCAAAACACACAGAAGTGGATGAGTGTTTGCATAGCAAGTAAGGAAGGACAGGGATCACAAGGTCCCAGCACTCCAAAGCCAGAAAAGGAAGGACAAAGTCCTGACAAACCAGGGGACTGTGGGCTTCAGTACTAGCTTAGCTTACACTCTGCTGAGTTACTCTGGGAAGGTGGTTTCCTTACTTATTTGGACCTGAGTTTTTCATCTCAAAGGTACTTTCCAGATTAGAAAAACCTGTGATCCACCATTTAAGGAATCATAACTTTATAAAGCACATTAAAGTACCCAATAAGTGGCAGTTAATATTTATTATTTAATATTTATTACTACTGACAATGATTTTAACTTTTATTTACATGTAAAATATTGATAGAAAATCACACATGACTATATACATGTACATACATGTATGTGTATATTTTTATGCATGTGTGCTATACGGTATATCATTCTGTGCCTATAGCCCAATTTATTTTGCTCTGATGGGCATTCAGGCATTTTTCAATTTGGGGCTCTTAAAAATAGCGAACCTTCTGTTTTGGTACACATATGAATATATTTCTCTTTAGTGTGTATGTATATGTGTATATGTATTAACAGCACCTAATAAACAATTTTTACTAAGTTAATGGAAAGATTCTAAAGGTTCTCTGGTGTATTGAAAAGAAAATTCATTATTTTCTTTTTAAAAAAAATTCTTAGTTGTAGATAGACCTTTATTTTACTTATTTATATGCAGTGCTAAGAATCGAACCCAGTGCCTCCCACGTGCCAGGCAAATGCACTACTGCTGAGCCACAGACAGAGTCCCTCATTTTCTTCAGAGTTTGCTGAAAACATTAAAATAAAATTAGCAAAACTTAAGTGAATGCTTTAATTAGTACTTTTAACAATTCTCCCATTCCAGAACCATATACAGTTAATATTTTATCTTTTTCAAATAAACAGGTTAATAGGAAGGTGGAGAACCAAGTCTATCATAGGTATCTGGACACATATATTTCAGCCCTGACTCCTTAATGTCATGTGGCATTAACAAAACTACTTTACCTCTCTAAAATGAATTTCTCTATCTCTGAAATGAGGAAAAAAAACCTGGAATGGGACCTAGCAAACTATGGCCCATAGATCATATTGCCCTGTCACCTGTTTTTATAAATAAAGTTTTACTAAAACTTTGTCAAGCCTATTCATTAAACATGAATGTTTAATAGGCTGCTTTTGTGCCACAGTGGCAAAGTCGAGTACTTGCAATAGAAAACATGGGGCTTACTAGTTTAAAAAACTTATTATCTTGTTTTTATAGAAAAAGTTTAATGATCCCTATACTGGAAGATCACAATTATCTCTTTCAATTCTAAAACTTGATTCTGTCTCACAACAATTTTGCAAACATTAAAATAGATCAGCAACAAATAAGATAACATTTTAGCATAACACAACAGCATAAAATTGAGCTTTGAGTGCACAGAACTCTTTCATGGAAACCTAGATACATAATAGGGTACCAGTTTTAGAATATAGACTGATATAGGGATTAACAGAAATCTCAAGTTCACAAACTCAACTGTGGGCATCCATGTTTGGATAGGGAAGTCTGAATATCAGGAGAGAGAAAATTACATGGAATTAATGCTTTATGTCCAATATTGACAAGAGTTTAGCTTTCCTAATTAATAAGCAAAAACAAACAAACAAAACAAATGGAACGGTCACCTTCATAATAAGACACCTCTTTGAGAAGACAGGCTAGAATGAATAAGATTATGAGAATTCTATAGCTTCTTACATAACCTTAATTCAAGAATGACCATTTTATAAGTTCTCTCTAAGAATAATAAAATACTCATCAAATTGTGAGGGAAGAAGGGGGCACACACCTAATAATGTATGTCAGTTAAATTGATGAGGTAATTCATGGGGTAAACAACACTACTGCTGGATTAGCTTCCATTCCCAAGGTAAACTAGTTCATATCACAAGATCAGAAGTTCTCACTTTTTTCTGCTGGAACCAATCAATGACATACGTTCTCATGCCCACAACATGCTCATACAGATGTAGCCATGATCTGATGGCATTCAAAGTAAGTAGGTGAAAATAAGACACAATGGTAATTAGAAATCCCATTAAAAACTGATAGGACATTAACAATGGGCTCTTGCTACAGGAGTAGCAGAGATCAGATAAGTAACAGGTTATGTATAATTCTTGGGGAGCTAATAATGAAATATTATTATATGTGAATATAAGGTAGTAAAAGTGATACTACAAAGATAATCTAGATTCTCCTCTAATTTATATAAAACAAAATAATCTACAACCCCTATACTTTTATTGTATTCATTTAGAATGCCCCAACTCCAAGGTTGAGAACTACTGCACTAGATTAAGAAATTATGATTGTGTATCTTCATAAAGATGCTTGTTAATTCTTTCTCGTCTTTTTAAAAATATTTTTCTTTTGTTTTTGTTAGTTTTGGATTTGTTATTAGTGCCTTTAAACAAGAACACACACACACACACAAAACCAAGAAGAAAGAACAGATTAGAATATCAAATTACATATTTCACTTGGGCCTCTTCATATGCTAGGGCTTTGGTTCAACTTTCTTGATATTTCTCTTAAGTTAAATGAATAACTGCTTTTAGGATTCTGAGTTCATACAATATTTTCATAGTTGCAAATAAGACCATGACCTTTGTGTTTCAACCATCAACAAATCATCTCTGCTTGCACCAACAGCTTGGTTTAGTCCAACACATATTCTGGACAAATAACTCAAAAGTATATAAAGTTAAAACAAACTAAATTTATTTTATTTATTGCCATTTATGATAATAAATTTTTCTACCAGATATGACTATATGAAAGTCTGATTCAAAAATCAAATTTGCACCTTAAACTCTTGCTGGAATGAAGTAGTAACAAGCTTACAGATAAGCAAGAACAAAACCTGCTTTATTTCCAGTACATTTCAAACCTTACTTTCTGCCTCAGGTAATTAAAAATTCTAAATACAAGTGCCTGGGTCATTATTGTTGGGATATATACACTTCAATTTAAAAACCACATTTTGTCAAGAAAGAATTTCAAAATCAGTGTCACATTTGAATACTGTTTTCATTAAATCACAGCAAACAACAGCACTGTTTTGAAAAAATATTTTCAGACTTGATGGCAATGTACTTCTGGGTATGTGTAGAGAACTGGTGTCAAACACACTGTAAAAGAGGGCTTAAAACTGTATTAGTGAATGTCCCTGCAGTGTCTGCCTAAGCTACACTGGCTCTTCATACTATCTACATAAACCTGTCAGTCACTACTTCAGCAGAGGTGAGCATGGCACCCAGAGTATTTGTGTGTATTTACTATTTGTCCCTTTAGATAAATACATGCTGAAGTGAGATAGCTAAGATCGTTTGTGGGGAAAGGTTTCCAGATTAGAGCAAAGCCCTTCAAAGTCTCTATTTTGTTTTACTAATGTTATGTTTCTCTATATAAAAAGTTAATTATTTTAAGTATTTAACCCTTCCTGAAAAGATTTCAGATGGTACCCTAAAATTCTTCTCCACTCTTTCTATGTGGAAACAGTATCATCATAATTTTTAAAAATCTACTGGAATCATATAAATTACTCTGGTCTTTAACAGATGAAGAAATAAGATCCAAAGAGGTGAGACCCACTGAAACCGTGGCAAACCATGTTCCTTAAGAGGTTATTTTCCATGTTGCACACAGATTCAAACTCTGGCCCGGAGAGTGGACATCATGAAGAACATTTGCAAAGCTAGACTTCAGAACCTAAAGCTAGTTTTTGTTCATAGCACTGTTACTTTATTAGTGTCCTGGTTTGCATATTAGTGGCTTTCAATGTGCAGGAGCATACCTGGTCTATGTTCTACTCTACCAAGAAGCACACTGGGACAAAGGTCAGAGGCTTAGCAGACTACTGATGGAGTTATCAATATTTGCAAACACAAGATAACACAGACAATAAAAACACTACTTAGAAATAAGCAAACAAAGAAAGACATTTGGAAAATACCTTTGACCCAATATCTAGAAACAATCTGCATTTAGAACAAAGATCATATTTCACTAATCTTTATTTGTAAATACCTGTTAAGTGTCCACTCATAGTTTTGTCATGACTATTGAATAACTGCCTGTATTTCAATCTCGATGACTGAGGAACAGCCCATTCTGCTGCTGGAGGGACACTACCAGGAAAAGAGGAAGGAGAAAAAGATGATTAACCAGAAGGAAAAGACTACTGACAGTCTTTAGAAACAGTAAACTTAGAACTTTCTCTAGATTTACAACTTGAACAGTATTGCCCTTTTTCCCTTCCCCCAATCCCTGCCGTGTGTGTTTGTGTGTGTGTTTTTATGTGTGTGTGTATGTGTTTGTTTTTCTGAGGGTTGAACAAAAAACTAAAAATATACACATAACAATTTTTTAAAATAGGTAAGTTCATTATTTTTCTAGAAATGGAAAACCTAAGAGATCAAGTGACTATTTCATGTTACATATATAACTTAATAATATCAAAGTTCTACATAAGTATGAGAAATCTTAGAACAGAGGCAAAATAATACACATTTTTTGTGTCTAGAAAACATTTCCTTCAGTTAAAAAAAAAACACTGCCAACAAATAAGTGCCTCTAAAGGTATTAATTCTCCAAAACATTCAATTTTCTATACACTAAAATATGGGACCTACTTCTTTTTCTTTTTTTGCGGGGAAGGGGTAATACTAGGATTGGACCCAGGGGCACTTAACAAGTGGGCTAAGCCTTCAGCCCTTTTTATGTTTTTAATAGTTTAAGACAGGGCATTACTAAGTTGCTGAGGTTGGCCTTGAACTTGTGATCCTCCTGCCTCAGCTTCCCAAGTTGTTGGGATTACAGGTATGCACCCTCATACCCTGCATAGAACCCACTTCTTAATGAAATAAAATTATTTCACGATAAGAAGTTTAAATTTCCACCAAGTGGAGAAATCTTCCAAAAAACATTTCCAAGACCATGACAAATCAGCAGAACAGTGAGGGACAGCGCTCATCTTTCTTAAATGCCATCCAGCAGTGACCTCTTTCTGCCAATGTGCTACAATCCTGACCTGAAGAAACCACTGCTAACAGCCAATTTGGGTCTAGACATCCCTGGCGATTTGCTCCTCAGCTACCATGGCCCAAGCAAGGATCACATTGGTATCAATAGTTTGTTAAAAAGTCTAATGTCTAAATCAAGTGATTCATTCACAGATGTTCAGCTGACAGTAAAAATGGTACTCCTCCTCCAGCAGACCACAGCTAATGTCCCATATGCAACTTCTTTTCATTCCAATAAAAATACCTACATCTCTCATGGAAAGGTAAAATTTTAACCTCTTAACCATGATTTATATGTATTATCAATGCACTTATACTTACTGTATATAGTTCAGAAAGCACAGAAAGTAGTTCCCAAACACTTGAAAAGTACTAAGCTCACCTTTTTAATTTTTATGAATTTCTTAATAAAAAACACTTACCGCGATCTATTCTGCTGTGAATACTTGGGCAACAACTCTCTCATTTTAACTAATATTTTGCTATTCCAACTCCTGCTTGTTTTTCAAAAAGCTATCTTGCTCCTGCACCCTAGAGATATAGGGTGCTACGCACAGAAGTTGTCCCAGATTACACTTATCATGTCATGGTTCTCTGTCTAATTCCTGAGAATCTAAATAGACTAAAAACTAACTCATTAATATATTACCTAAAAGTTGGATACTACATTATAAAAATTTGCTGAAAGTTTATATTATTGAAAAGATGAATATTAACATAAAAAGTTCAATTATCTTAATAGTATTGATTTTTGCTAATAATGAATAACAGTCATTCTAAATTGTTACAAATCAATTTTAAGGCAGATTTCAAAATCCCTTGTGGAAAGTTAGAAAAAATATAAAAGCTTCAGCATCATATAGGAGAAAAAAATTAACAATATGGAACTATGGTCATGTGATATGAGTTTAAGCCTCAGCTCTACCATTTACTCAACTGTAAATTATAGGAAAGGAACATAACTTCTTTGGGTTGTTTGCCTCCTCATTCACAATCCTGAGACAATACCTATGCACAGGTAGTTGTGGGTTGAATGGGATTAATAAGGTGCCTGGCAAAAAAAAGTTCAATAAATGTTCAATCATTCAAAGGCTAGCAACTTAAATGAAATGGATCACAAATACCTGTACACCACAATAAACTGAAGATTTTATAGAAAATTTGCAGTTTAGAAAAACTGAGTACAACTCAGCACCGACACTGAACAAGTTAATAATCTTGGGCAAGTCACTCAATGTCTCTGACCTGGTCCCCAAACTATAACAGAGAAAATAATAGAGTCATCTTATGAAGATGAGTCAGTTATTGTGCACAGCTTTTGGCACAGTGCTTTTCACTGGATGGGTCTTTCTCACTTTCCTTTTTTTTTTTTTTTTAGTTAGTATTAGGGTATGGATTTTCTTTAAATCGTATTTTTTAAGGGAATGCATTATTGAATTATATTCAACATATTATTCTCTTTAAAGAGGAAAAATGACCTGATTAAGAGATAATTTTAATGAAAGGCTGCAATTACCTTAATTTACATCCTCCTTCATTCCAAGAGTTTTAAGACTACTTACAATAAAAATTTTCAACTTAGTGTATCAGTATGCACAGGGGAAAAAACTAGGAGAAAACAAAAATATAATATAATAAATAAATACAATAGAGCTGGGCACACTGGCACATGCCTGTAATCCCAGAGGCTTGGTAGGCCAACACAGGAGGACCGCGAGTTCAAAGCCAGTCTCAGAAACTTAGCAAGGACCTAAGCCACTCAGCAAGACCCTGTCTCTAAATAAAATGTGAAAAAGAGCTGGGGATGTAGCTCAGAGGTTAAGTGCCCTTGTGTTCAATCCGTGGTACCAATAAATAAATAAAATACAAAATCAGTTTGGCCAAAATATAAGTAATAAGATCATATGAGTTTTTCAAAAATTGAGCCACACTTTTGATTAATGTGAACTGTCCATTAATTTGAATAATTCATTTTAGTAAAAATTGGCCTTTAAGAGGGTTTTACTAATAAGCCACACAGACTCCATGAGATTATCTGAGACAGAATGAAAAATAAGATAAACCCATGGCTCCAATCTTCATATATAATTTTTATACACTTTTAAGTGACTAACAAGAAACAGTTAATTTATTTTTCCCCTACCTAGAATGCTATTTTACTATGTTTTAAAAAATCTGTTACTTTTTTTTTTTTTTTTTTGTACTAGGTATTGAACCTAGGACCTCCTTACCCATGGCTAGGCAGTGCTCTGCCACTGCCATTGACCTGCACACCCAGCCCCCCGCCCCCCGTTACCTTTTTGTTATGCCCTTTAAAAAGCCAAAAACAAAAACACATAAAACCTTCCAAGAAATGGCATGTTTTTGATTTCTGTAATCCTTGCAACAAAGAAATGATAAAACCTAGTGGCATTATCAAGAATTTTTAAATTATTATTAACATACAATAAAAATGAAAGAAGATAATAAAGAGGGTTCATTTTCTTTTATAATCAGATAATGGTTTTAAACCAAACTTATCATTAAAAACAAGCAAGCTTACCTGGCCACATCAAATGATTGTGCCTTCTGTAATTTAGTGCTTAACTGTGATCCTGGACCAGATCTACTGAAGGAAGAACTCTTTGGCAATGTGGCTGCTATAAAAATAAATGTTGAATAATTTTAATTCTACAAAGATAAGAAACTTTCCCCTATGACAAAAAATTAAAATGCACAGACATAAAACCTAAGGCAGCTAGGCAGGGTGGTATACTCCATACTATAAGGAGGACTGCACAAGTTCAAAGCCAGCTTCAGCAACTTAGTGAGGCCCTCAACAACTTAGCAAGACTTTTTGTCTCAAAATAAAAAATAAAAAGGGCTGGGAATATAGCTCAGTGGTAAAAACCCCTGAGTTTAATCCCCAGTGCCAAAAAATAAAAAAAAGAAGGAAAACTTAAAGCAGAAACAACTCCTCCTTGCTTTCCAATAGAACTTGGACTCAAAAGAATTCTATTTCCCTCTTAGTCTCTGTCCTCTTGCCAAAATGCTTCTAGATTTACTGTTCTACTGAGAATTACTTTACTGAGCAGTAATGCTGACATCCATAAAGTTTTCCATTTCATTGAGCTTTTAGTACCACATGTTATTAGATCCGTTCCAATAGTTAAAAATGTAACAGCTTAAATATATAAGGTGGCATTTGGGAGGCAGGGGGAGTTGCCAGGGATCAAACCCAGTACTTTATCACTGAGCTTCATTCCAGCCCTTTTCATTTTGAGAAAGGGTCTTGCTTGGCACCTTGCTAAATTGCTGAGGTGGCATCGAACTTGTGAACCTCCTGCCTCAGTCTCTCAAATCGCTGGGATTACAAATGTGTGCCACTGCACCCAAAAAGATGGCATTTTCTCAACTGCACTAAAGGAGCTTAAGTATCAGTTCCAGATGTCAGAGCCAAGAAGTCAGTCTGCCAACTCTTGGCCAGATAACATGTGATACTTAGGGAGGGACAGCTTTTGTATCTGATTCTCATTTGACCTGATTAGTTTTGTATCAGACTAAAAACACCCTTAGCCTTAGCCACATTCCCCCACCCTTGCCTGCTGGTTGATCTACCATTAGCCCAAAAGAAAACAAGACTCAGAGCTTGTGGATTCACCATTACTACTGAAAAAGGAACTGCATGCACTTTCTCAGCTGCTATCACATCTGAAGGCATGATCATATATAAACAATGGACTATAAAGGACAAAAAAAATCTAAGTCCAAAGAGTGTTGTTAGATTCTTTGGCTATAACTCAGAGACATAACCCAACAAATATAATAAATCCAGGGTGTGTCAGACATAGAAATAATGTTTCAAATATAATACTAAAGCCCATGCTGTTATCACTATTGAATTTACCAGACATATCCAAAGTGTTAGTTTTTTTTTCATATTGATATGAACCATTAAGATTTGTTAGACTATGACTAACTATATAGTTTATGCTTTCTTTTAGGAAAAGACTTTGAATAAAGTCTCAAATTGAATTAACTAATGAGGAATTTTGAAATCCTCTCCTTCAATTAAGCAAATATGTAATACTATGTGCTTAATATGCTTAGTCATTTAAATGACTTCCTTCTCTTTTCTGCCTGATTCATTCCACCTCCTCAAAAAATCAAGCAATGTTCAATTTTCCCCAGCATATAACTTAATTCCTAGGAGATGGCTTGCTTATTAGTAATTCACAGTAGCTATAGAAAAGTAGTAACTGATACATGAAAATAAAAAATGATCAAAAACACTGTTCAACTTCAGCTGCTCTTATTAAGCCCTTGAAGAGAAATTATGCTCTTGACTTTCACCACCGAGTTTACTTTTGCTCACAGAGATCGACAATTCCATTCCCTTGTCCCCTCCCTACCATAAAATATGCTGCTTAATATGTTGAAAAAATGAAAAATTAAGTGGAAAAAAAAAGATTTTACTTTGGAACAAAATACCATTTAAATCTGATAAGAAAGTAAAAAAAGATTTAACAAGAATAAATGTCAAAATAAAAGCTGTGGTAATTCAGCCTATGGTTTTGGCAGGTCACATACCAGGATGAGCAAATGCAGGCAGAGGCTGTATGACAGGGGGAGCCCCGTTAGCTAGGGGAGGCACTGCTGTTGGAGGAACAGAAGATACTAAGGGTGGAGACATTCCAACAACTGGGATGGATCCCATTGGCACTGGAGCAACAGCAGTAAGCGGTGGCATGCTGGCGATACCTCCTATACCTACAAAGGAAACATTCCCAAGGAAATTCAGTCACATTTCAATATTCAGTAACTATTAACACTATAGTGCTTGAAGAAGAAAACCACTTTCAAGCTGTAATATATTCCCATGTAAAATATGGGGATGTAGCTCAGTGGGAGAGTGCTTGCCTAGCACACAAGAGGCTCTGGATATGATCCCCAGCACCCCACCCAAATTTAATACAGCAATTAATTCAGATTAATTATGTTTAAATGTACAAAAATTATCTCAAGGTTCACATCAAAAGAACAAGACTCAGGGTGGGGATATAGCTCAGTTGGTAGAGTGCTTGCCTAGCATGCACAAGTTCCTTATTACAATCCCCCAGGCTCACCTCCCCCCGCCCCCACCCCGCAAAAAAGAACAAGATCCAAATTAAAGAGGGATGAATTAAGACAAGGACCAAGAATCTTAACTTCAATTAACTAAGTAAATTCATGACTTCAAAATGATATTTAAAAACAAACAACAACAACAATTTCTAAATTGGTTCTCATAGGAAGATGCTAGGTAATCAATTTTTTACTTTGAAAACTAGTAAGGAAAGGGGAATAAAAAAAAAAAAAATCAACCACTTAACCTGTCTTTTCTATACATATTACACCTTGGGGTAAGCAAATATTTGATGGGAAGAAGTATTTTCATAAATAGATAAATAAAGGAAGAAGTGTTAGAATTAAAATAAATGTTTCCTTTCTTTTGTTGTTTCATTTCTTCCTCAACTTCAATACCCGTTTGTCCCACAGGGCCCTTTTGCATATCCTGTGTTCAGGCACACAGCTTGTGGGTTGGTGAGGAATTTGCAATGGGCTTGGGTCCACCCTTATCACAAGCACACACGTGCACAGCTTCAACTAAGAATACAGTTCCCTGATCACAACTTTAGGCCAACAGAGATACTGGTTATTATCAGCCCATCTGCTGCCAAGATCATGTCTTTTACTGACAAGGCTGCTGGGCACAGGCATCACACTCGCCCCCAAGGCAAAGTGACTCCCAATAGCAAGCCTGCCAGCACTCACAACCTGCCCCATCCTGGCAGAATCCCCATGTTAACCAAGCTGAGAGGTTGAGAAACAGGTACATACTCAGCAAAGACTGCCAGGCTTCCAGTGTTCCCTCTGCTCATACCTGAATCTTAGCAGTTTTTAAAGCATAAATGATTCTCAGAGAGTCATATACCTTTGGTTTATTTGGAGAGCACTTACAAGGTTTTGTCAATTTTTCCCATTTACATTAGCACTTGGGGGAAGAATCTGCTGCTCTCATCCTGTTCTGGTCAAAAATCCCAATGCTGAAATGTCTGTTAAGTTTCTTTTAATCTAGAGGCCCCTCTCCATCCCTTTTCTTAACAATTTATCTGTGAAAGACCCAAACCATGTAACCTGTAGCATTTCCCTATCTGAATTGTATTGATTCAAATCCTCACAATACATTTCAAAATTTACCTCTGTTTTCTGCATTTCCTACAAATAGGCAGCTAAATCCAATGACTGCATAAGACTTTGTCAAGACTATTGGAAGCACATGACATAATTGTCTTTTTGTGATCTGACAGTCACTGATGCTTGATGTCTGTACTTATTCATCCATAAGGAGTTGCAAAATAGTGATGTTCTAGTTCTACCAACTCTCAGTTGGAATACTTTTATAAAGGGGTACTTCTAATGAGGATCTATTGGTTGGCTATTCAGTTATACAAATCATATAGGAAAAGCAAAGTAAATGCTTGATTCCTTCTCTTATTTTCAAGATAATAAATTTGAGTCTCTTAAAGTGGTTATTCTTTTAAAATATGTATCTCATCACTGTGTCACAAATTTAAACATATTTACTGAGTTTTAATCCATTGCACTTATTATCACTTATTATTAATAAAGTTCAAAGTGTTCTATCTTTGGCCAATGTTAGCCTCTTCCGAGTGGCTGAAAAGTTCTGATATCACCCTACTGTTCTCTGATACCTTCCTTGAGGATCAGTATTACAAAATAAGTTCCTTCAAGCTCGTCGTGTCCATCTCACACAAGAACTCAGATCAGTCATTTCTCCAGGAAACTCAGGTTCCCTTTAATAAGAAATAGTATTTCAAGTGTACAATCTGGGCTCACTGCTGGTGTTCTAGTGGCCATGGAAAGAAGCGGGGAGTGGGCTGGGGTTGTGGCTCAGTGGTAGAGTGCTCGCCTAGCACACGCAGGGCCCTGGGTTCAATCCTCAGTACCACATAAAAATAAATGAATGGAATAAAGGTATTGTGTCCAACTACAAATAAATAAATAAATAAATAAGAAATGGGGAGTGCCCCTTGTTTGAGCAGTTGCTCTCTGCTGCCAGGGTTGACCATTGTTTCCAGTCCTTTTCAATGGACACAGCTTGGCGACAGATGGATGGAGAGATGGGTAAGTGAAGAGATGAACAGAGGTTAGAGAGCATTTCTAAAAGATTCCTCAGAAAGGGCTCATGTCAGTATTTCTTAAGTCCTTACAAGTTGATGACATTTTGTCTATACTCTTTCTACTTGAAAGTCAGTTTTCTGGACAAAATCCTTAGCTCATTCTTTCACTAGGAATCCTAAATATGTGATTCCATTTTCTTCTGGTATAAAGAAAGTACTGCTATGGAAAAGTCTGAAGCTGGTCTAATTTTCTTCTTTTTGTAAGTCATGTGCTCTCTTTTTCTACACACCCAAGTAATGTTTTTCTTTTACTAGAATATATCTTAGTGTTGGTCTTTCCAGGTTGATACTCTTAAGCACATGATATTCTTTCAAATACAGTTCTAAATCTCTTATTTTGAGAGAGTTGTCTTGAATTCATTTTACCATTTTTTCAGTTTTCCTGGATTGGGAGTCATTTTCATTCTTAAAAACAATAATGACAATGTTTAATGACATTAAAAATCCAGCAGAGAGGAATAAAAACTCTAATCTAGGTTTCACTGAGTAATATTGTATTAATTACATTCCCTGCCTCAGTCTAAGTAGTCTGTGACTACAGGTGTAAGCCATGGTGTATGGCTGATTGGTAATCTTAAGAGAAAGCTAACCTCAAGGATGCTAAGAAAGAAGACTTTAAAATATCTCAAATTAGTTGCACCAGTTAAAAAAACAAAAATAAAAACAAAAAAATCTAACCACTGAATTGATGAAAGCATCTTTTAATCTTCCAAATTTGTTAAAATCTTTTCTTACATCATAGTTTTCATTTTAAGTGATCCACTAAGCTTTTAAAAAGTCACTTCAAAGATTTTGAGCAACTAATGACCTCTTTTGAACAAAAGATTTTCTAATTATATCATATCTACCAGAGGCTATATTCTAAATGCCATTGATAGCTTCTAGTGCTAAATCTTAATCCTGGAAATTCTCCCATCTCTCCTGCATCACTGATCTTCCCTCTCTATAAAGTGCCAGCACAATTCAGCTGACAGCTCCTCCAGCTGTCTCCTCTGTACAGTTAAGCTCCCTCCCCTTCAGCTAAGCCTTCCTTGGTCCTGACCTCTCCACTGAACGACAAGCTCACTCACAAACTAGTCAGTCATATCCAATCCAAACCACTTTCCTATTCCAGTCTTACTTCACCCTCAGAAATAAATCAAACAAGGGGCTCCCCCCCAACTTTTTAAAATCTTTTGTTTAGTTTAGATAGACACAATATCTTCATTTTATTTATTTATTTATTTATTTATTTATGGCACCAGGGATGAAACTTAGGGGTGCTTAATCACTGAGCCACATCCCCAACTCTCTTTTGTATTTTATTTAGAGACAGGGTCTTGCTCAGTTGCTTAGGGTCTTGCTAAATTTCTGAGACTAGCTTTGAACTAGCAATCCTTCTGCCTATCTCCTGAGCCGCTGGGATTACAGGCATGTGCCACTGCACCTAGCTATTTATTTATTTATTTTTATGTGGTGCTGAGGCTCAAACCCAGTGCCTCACACATGCTAGGCAAGCGCTCTATCGCTGAGCTACAACCCCAGCCCACTCCACCCTTTCTCAAAAGGCTTTTCCTTGGCTACTAGAATACCAGTCTTTTCTACACACTCTGGTCAGTTTCTTTTTCTGGCTACTTCTTTCACTAGAGCTTTCAATGTCATGTCACACCAGGGTTTGGTTCCAGATCATCTGCTCTCCTTTAGCCACACTTCCTCCCTAAGATGTCTAACTCAGTCCCAGGGCTTTCAGCCCCATCCATACTCACTCTCCAGAGCTGCCTGATTCCTTCTGTGCTTCAGGCACATGTAGTCACTCTTGACTCCTGAACATCTCAACTTGAAATCTATAGGTTCCTCAAACATGACTATACCTTTTGATTTCTCCCCCAAACCATTCCTCTTCCTGTTCTTTCCATCTCAGTATATGGTTACACCATGCATCCAGTTATTCAAGCTAAAAACCTTAATTCTCATTCCTTGGTTCTATTTCTAATCCATTAATATTTTAATTTCCCTCAAAATATAGAATATAGTAAATCTAATCTGTTGTACACATTACTAACAAACACCCTGATCTAAATCACCATTATCTAGTATGAGCTGGAGACAAACTAGAAATACTAGCAAAGACCAGGTTTTTGAGTCAACTTTGGCAGACTTGATAAAGACTATGTACTTTTAGCTTCTTCTATTCCTTAAGATTTATCTTCCTGAAAACAATTTGATAAGAATGTCTATAGAATGATAGCAAGGTGAGGAAAGCCAGGGAGAAGCCAGGGAAGGAGCCATGGGCTGCCTGGCTGAGTGCTGGGTAAAATCCTGATGAGTTCCCGTGGCAGCAGTGGCAGGTTACTTAAGAGACTTTAAGAACCCTGGCAGTAAGGGCAGAAGTTCCTGAAAATAAATTAGCAGTTGAAATCCCTAGAGCAGAATGGAGTAAGAGAAAACAAAGTAAACCTAAGAATTACTGACCCCAAGTTTAAGGGGCAAAGAGAAATGGGATGCCACTGGTCACTGGATCCTTTCACCACTCTGAAGTTTTTTTCAATAAATCAATAAATACCAGAAGGAGACCAAAAGGAAACCAAGCACCCTTTCGTTGTTCTAGCACATGGGTCTTGACCAAAACTTGCCCACTGGGACCTTCAGGGAATCAGAGCAAAATCAAGTGGATTAAGTGGCCAACTAAAGGCTGTCTTATATACATAAAGGAACAAAATAAATACCTGTCATATGTACTGTTGTTCATATTTGTCTTCTGAGCCTTTACCCAGATGTGGGTTTTCCTTCTTGTGGACCTCTTTCCTACTTGCCTAAAAATCTCCTTCAAACCCACACCTTTCCTCTTCAAAAAAATTTATATTAGAATATTTATTTATTCTAATTTGTTACATATAACAGCAGAATGCATTTCAATTCATAACACACATATAGAGCACAACTCTTCATGTCTCTGATTGTACAAAGTAGAGTCACACTATTTATGTCTACATGTACTTGGTAATGATGTCCATCTCATTCCTCTGTCTTTCCTACCCACATGCTCCCTCCCTTCCCCTCTGCCCTACCGAAAGTTCCTCCATTCCTCCCATGCTCTCCCCTATCCCCATTATGGATCATCATCCTCATATCAGAGAAAACACTCAGCATTTGGTTTTGTGGGATTGGCTTACTTCACTTAGTGTAATATTCTCCAATTCCATCCATTTACCTGCAAATGCCATGATTTTATTCTCTTGTAATGCAGAGTAATATTCCATTGTGAAAATACATAACAATTTCTTTACCCTTTCATCTACTGAAGGGCATCTAGGTTGGTTCCACAATTTTAACTATTGTGAATTGTGCTGCTATAAACATTGATGTGGCTGCATTACTACAGTATGCTGTTTTTAAGTCCTTTGGTTATTAAACTGAGGAATGGAACAGCTGGGTCAAATGGTGGTTCCATTCCAAGTTTTCCAAAGAATCTCCATACTGCTTTCCAGATTGGTTGTAGTCCAACCAGCAATTTGCAGTCCCACCAGCAATGTATGAGTGCGCCTTTCTCCCCATATCCTCCCCAACACTTATTACTGTTTGTATTCTGAATAGCTGCCATTCTGACTGAAGTGAGATGAAATCTTACAATAGTTTTAATTTGAATTTCTCTAATTGCTAGAGATGTTGAATATTTTTTCATATGTTTTTTGATTGCTTGTATATCATATTCGGAGAAGTGTCTGTTCAGGTCCTTGGCCCATTTATTGACTGGGTTATTTGTTTTTTTGTTGTTAAGATTTCTGAGTTCTTTATATACCCTACAGATTAGTGCTCTATCTGATGTGCGTGTGGTAAAAATTTGCTCCCATTCTGTAGGCTCTCTATTCATCTCTCTATTAACATCATTGAGAAGAAGCTTTTTAGTTTGAATCCAACCCATTTATTGATTCTTGATTTTACTTCTTGTGATATAGGAGTCTTATTAAGGAAGTCCTCTAAAAACTGGAACAAGACAAGGATGCCCTCTTTCACCACTACTATTTAACATAGTTCTTGAAACTCTAGCCAGATCAATTAGACAGAAAAGAAATTAAAGGGATACCGATAGGAAAAGAAGAACTCAAATTAGCACTATTTGCCAATGATATGAATCTTCCATATCATTGGCAGATAGCAAATAGTTCTATTTGAACCTAGAAGATCCAAAAAATTCCACCAGAAAACTTCTAGAACTAATAAATGAATTCAGCAAAGTAGCAGGATATAAATCAACAACCATAAATCAATGGCATTTCTGTACATCAGTGACAAATCCTCTCAAAGAGAAACTAGGAAAACTACCCCATTTACAATAGCCTCAAAAGAATAAAATACTTGGGAATCAACTTAACGAAAGAGGTGAAAAACCTCTACAATGAAAATTACAGAACACTAAAGAAAGAAATTAAAGAAGACCTTAGAAGATGGAAAGATCTCCCCTGTTCTTGGATAAGCAGAATTAATATTGTCAAAATGACCACAGTACCAAAAGCACTATATAGATTTTATGTAATTCCAATCAAAATCCTCATAGAAATAGAAAAAGCAATCATGAAATTCATCTGGAAAAAAAAGAGACCCAGAACATCCAAAGCAATCCTTAGCAAGAAGAGCAAAGCAGGTAGCATCACTATCCCAGACCTTAAAATATACTACAGAGCAATAGTAACAAAAAAGGCATGGTATTGGCACCAAAATCGACTTGTAGACCAATGGTATAGAATACAGGACACAGAGACAAACCCACATATTTAAATAATTATCTTATATTAGACAAAGGAGCCAAAAATGTATATTGGAGAAAGGATAGCCTCTTCAACAAATAGGAAAACTGGAAATCCATATGCAACAAAATCAAAGAAATTTCTCTTTTTCAAATACGTTGGCCTGTCTTAGGTATTTCATTGTAATAAAGCAAAATGGACTAATACAATAGCCAAATACCTCAATACTGTGAACCAAAAAAATATATTTCTAGATAGCATAATTAAAAGGAATTGTTTATGTACTAGGAGAAATACATTAATTCTGGGAACAGAAAACCAAAATTAAGTATGTAACAATAGGTAAGGTCAATATGAAAAGCCAGAAGAAGAGAGATGAAGCAACAGCAGACTGCAGGTTTCTGTCCTTCACCCCACCAGCAATCTGTGCCTTTGCTCTCATAGTGGTGGCTTCATCCTAGAGTTCAGTTGTATACATGGTCCTTCCCCTCAGCACTGTCTTCCTGCAAAGGGCCTTCAGTTTTCAGACAGAAAAACCCCCAATAATTTCACCATGTTATAAACTCAAAAGGAGGGAGTATCTATTTTTAAAATACACAATGAAATATAGGAACAAATTCATTTTCAGACTTACCAAATGCTGGTGCACTAGAAATAGCAACTGGTTGCTGTTTCATCACAGGGGGAAGTGCAGAGGGGAGCTGATATCCTTGAAGCTTCAGTTTGATAAGCTTCATAGCTATGGAAAACTCCACTTGATCCATTCTTCCATCATTATTCATGTCAGCTAGTGCCCTGAAAATGAGCAGCATAGACTCAGAACTACTGTGACCATAAAAGAACCTTCCCAACCCCCACTTCCACTGACAAAAACACAAAATAATTCGCTCCCTTACCATAAGGAGATTAAAGGAAAACAAAACTTGTTTACCACATTATGGGGAAGAACCTACAAATACTGACAAAGCTTTCCATGAATACAGAACGTCTTGTACTTTGGTACTCTTTACCTCTATAATATATCATATAGCCTTACCTTAAAGTGGCTTCACTTTGATGAAAATGTCCTAAAATTAGATAGTGGTGATGGTTATAGAACTGTGAATATACTACAAACCACTGAGTTATACAGTATAAAAGGTAAATTTATTATGTTAATTGTGTTGCAATTAAAGCTGGTGGAAAAAAGCATATAGAGCTGGGCACAGTGATGCATGCCCATAATCCCAGCATCTTGGGAGGCTGAGGCAAGAGGACCGCAAGTTCAAAGCCAGCCTCAGCAACTTAGCAAGGCCCTAAGCAATTTAGCAAACTCTGTCTCAAAATAAAAAATAAAAAGGGCTGGGAATGTGGCTCAATGGCTATGCACCCCTGTGTTCAATCCCCAGTAACAAAAGAGAGAGCAAGAATAAACTAGAGACTATTATTTTTCAAGACACTTGGATAAATGACACTAACTCTATGGGGTTCTACAAACTTCCACCTGGGAAGCTGTCATGGTATGGTATACTATCCTTGGCTATATTATGGTACACTATACTAGAATGCTACTATACTTCTAAAGTTTTTAAGTCTTAATAATCAATTTTTCTTTAGAATCCTATTTTGTACACTCAACAAAGAAATTGGTTTTATGAGTATATTTGCTATTTGAAAATGACACTCAAACATATGTGGTCCAACTTCAACTTGTGTCGAGCTTTTAAAGTAAAGTATTTTCTCTCAAAGAATATTAAACTAAAGAATTTATATTTGCAATTGGAAACTACATTACACAACCATAACCATGCATATTAATGACTTAATGAAAAACAGTCATTTAAATTTCATTTCTTTTAATCCAGATAGTATACGTGTGGGAATTAATTTTTAAAGTAATCTTATCAAAAATTTTATTTGAAACATAAGTAGACAGCTAGTCCAATTCAAATGCCATGACTACCACTCTTTTAAATTGAGCAACATCCAAATAATGGCCCCAAAGAAAAAATTAAATTATACAAACAGGGTGCAAATGCTACATGCCTATTGTTCCAGCTGCTCTAAGTCAGAAGTAGAAGGATCAGCCTGAGGTCAGCCTGGACAACTCCGCTATATCCTGCCCCAATATTGGGGGAGAAAAAAGGCTAGGGGGAGCAGAAGTATGGCCTACAACACACAGTAAAAGTGATAAAATTTTTTAAAATCACCATGATTATTTTGGAACATGCCAAAAAGAACATAAAGAAGCTCATTTCTCCCTCAGATAGGCATTCCCAAGTATTCCTGCAGTCAGGACTCCTTTGGCAAACCAATTCAGTGGAATCTACATTTCCTCACCACTAGTAAGCCTAGGCATTGCTTTCATGGTAATTTGGATTTGTTCTATGACTTGCTTATTGCCCCAACTGGCCTCAAATTCACAGATGTAGTGCTCTTCATTCCTCCCAAGTAGATGGGATGAGGTGCACATAATAGTGCCTGGCTACAATTACATTATTTTATTACATTTCAGTCTTTAAACCAACTACAATTTTATGTGTGATGAGGGGGTGTGTGTGTGTGTGTGTATGTTGCTATCCCAAGATTCAACCCTAGATATTTGTTCTAAATGAGTATTTAACTTTTCCAGTTATACTTATTAACTAATTCCTCCTTACTGAATTTATATATGCTTTTGTCATGCACTGAATATTTATATGAAGTAAGGGCCTACTTCTGCACTACCTCTTTTGACCAAACAATCCCAGGTCCACGTGATGGTGATCTGACCACATTAGCTCTTGATACATTCTGCTATCTTACAAGGCTTTCTCTCTTTTAAAAATTTTTCTCTTGACTATTCATGGATATTTATTTTGCCCTATGAACTTTAAGACCATATTCTCTATTCTACACACAACCCTACTAGGATTTAAAAATGACACTAGATTTATATAATTTTTAGAGATATTTCTAAATATATATGTAATAATTTGCCACCCAAGAATATGCTATGTTTCAGTTTCTTCAGTTTTTATTTCCTTTTATAAAATTATCACATGTTCTTCATATAAATAATAAACTTGTATTGATAAATGTAGTCTAAGGAACTTCATAGTTTTTGCCAGAATTTTAAGTGGAATATTTCCCCCACTTCCATTTTTAGGTGCATATTTCAAGCATAAAGAGATTTTAAATTTTAAAAATTATTTATGCTATAATTAACTATCTCACAAAATTTCTATGAAATCTTATTTTTTTAAATTAAAATTTCATACGTTTAGTAAAATTCCAGTATTTATGCCAACCCTCTTTTATAGATCTTATTCCTACTAAGATTAAATGAATGCCTTCCTGCTTAGTTTTGAGTTTAAATGAAAAATAGCTTCAGTATTTTACTGTTTAGAATGATATCTGGTAGTGATTCTGGGAAAACAGTCTGACATATTTAAGTAGCCCCACTTATTAGTTGGCTGCATTTTTTATTAAAGGCCTAACCTGCATCTACTGATATGATTACAAGTTTTCTTTTTCCATTTATCTGTTGACATAAAGACTAACAGTGAGAGAATGAATGTCTTGGTTTTGAACCAATCTTATACTATTGGCATAAGTTCAAGTTGGTCAGAGTACATTATTCTTTTCATACATATGATGAGTTATGATTTTTTATCTATATTCATAACTGAAACTGGCCCTGATATGCTTTATTTTTGTACCATCTTTTAGACATTATAAAGGAAAGTGAGGTAGCTGGGTGCAGTGGTGTAACTGGTATTCCCAGCAACTCAGGAGGCTGAGCCAAGAGGATTACAAGTTCAAGGACAACCTGGGCAACTCATTGAGACCCTGTCTCAAAATGAAAATAAAAGGGCTGGAGATGTAGCTCTGTGGTAAAGCACCCTGAGTTCAATCCCCAGTACTACAAATAAAATAAAATGAAGAGGAGTTAGGACAATAAAATGAAATGGCATTTACTTCCTTTGCTAAATATTTTTTAAAATGTACTTTTATTTAAAAATTATTTTTTATTTTTAGGTGGATACAATATATTTATTTTACTTTTATGTGGTTCTGAGGATTGAACCCAGTGCCTCATGCATGCTAGGCAAGTCTCTACCACTGAGCCACAACCCCAGCCCCTACTAAATATTTTTTAAAAGATAATCATCTATTTCAATTTTTTTTTGGGGGGGTGAGTTATTGATGAAATAAACATCAGCATACAAACTTTAGTATTTATTTTTAAATAAATAAATCAAGCAGATGCATCCCCTATTTCCCACATTGAGATCTCAGAAAATGTATTTTCTTATTTAAAAAAAAAAAAAGGAAATATCTAACATGGGATAATGAGTGGGTTAGGAGAGAAGAGATTTCTAGTAATGGCTTAATTAGAATAATTTAGGGTTTCAAAAATCTTTCCTACCACAGTGCCTTCATGGGCAAGAAACAGCAGTTTGTAATCCTCAGATTCTAGGGATTATGTTTACACACCTATCATAATTCCAATATTTAGTTGGCAGCCTTGTGGTTCTCATAATTGTTTTTCACAATTAGCAAAACATAATTGTTAAGACTCCTTGATAATAAATAGAAAACTCAAAAGAAATTTATGGCAATACAGTTATTCTTACAAAGCTCAGCTTTCCTCCCTTCCTTCCCCTTCTTCCAGTACACTGGCATAGGGTTGGCATTTTATTTCTCAAGGCTCCTTTGCAAAAACTTCAGCACTGCTATACATTTCATCTCCCATTTAATAGTTATTTCTCCAGTTAACTTGTTTTTACTAATTCTCCCAAAGACTAACTAAGGTCTACCAATACTGAAATTAAATTCACAAAACTTCCAAAATAAAAATATTTGATAAAAAGAGTAAATAACTGTCATATATGACTCTTGAAACAAACCTACTGTGAATACAGTGTTTAGCCTGATATTAACAGTTGTACACAACAATAAGTAGGATTGATTATGTCGGATACCAAAGGCAAGCTTTTTTAATTGATTTGTACCTCTAAACCATACATCACTCTTATACAGTGTCCAGGGGGAAAGTGTTATAACTTCAAATGGAAGGAAAACTATGTAAGCGTTTACTCTTTGACCCAGCAATTGCACACCTAGAAATTTACTCTGAAGATACATTTCCAGAAATACAAAACATAGATATATAAGCTCATTCATTGCTGCATTATCTGTAATTGCAAAATATTGGAAATAACCTAAATGCACAAGCATAAAACACTGGTTGAATAAATTATAGTATATCCTCCACAAAGAGTACTATGGAAATTGAAAATGAGAAAGATCTCCATGGAAATGATATAAACAGTTTACAGGATATGCTATTAAGTGAAAAAAGCAAATAACAAAAAAGCATTTCTAGGTTATCTTTAATGTAAGAAAAAAAAGGAAATAAAAAATATATTCACATATACATTACACATATTGGGCCTGTTTTTTTACACACACACACACACAAACACACACACAATCCTAATAAAATCAGTGGGAGAAGGGAATGAAGGAACAGAAAAGCAAGAAAATGAATAGCCTACTCTGATATATCTCTTTGCACACTCTTGACTTTTAGAACCTTGGTAATGCATGTATTCAAAAAGTAACATGAGAAGGGACACCTAAGAGTATTTTAAGTAAACAACATATTAACATAACCTCACAGGAATGAGAAAGAAAAGTGAACCCAAGTAACTTGTCAATATAATACTTTATTATGTTCTTATTTTAAAAATAGAAAGAAATACAAAGCAGTCTTGAACTCTACTTAAAGATTTGTTGTTTGTACTACATGAGTATGGCAATTTGGAAAGTCCTTTGCATATATTATAGGATTAAAGAAAGAGGCCAGACTTCCTACACCATCTCATGTACCACCACAGGGCAGGAGAAGTCTCTTCCACACAGACTTGTCACAGGCTACTTATCTCCTAGATGGTGCCTATCAAGCTAAAATTTAAGGCCAAGCAATAATGTATATTAACCCATCTTAGTCATTTATTCATTCAAAAAGTTTCTATGAATGGGGTGGCTACAAAGGTCTAGGCACTATGAAGAAACTGGAGTTTAAACGGTGAAAAAAATAGAAAGTTCCCTCCTCTCACAGAGTTTATACTTCGATGTAAGCAGGCAGTAAACAAGAGAACAAATCAGATTAGTCTTCATGGTGATCACTTTTATTAAGTAATGGGAAAGACAAGAAGGGAGAGAGGAACAGGTAAACAGAGGGAACCACTTTAGACTAGTTGGTCGGGGAACACCTCTCTGGATGGTGACAAACTGAAGCCTAAATGGTAACAGAACTGGATTAAATAATAAGAGATACCAAGTGCAATGATCCTGAAGTGAGGAGAAATCTGTCACAATTAAAAATAGAAAGTCAGGGCTGGGGATATGGCTCAAGCAGTAACGCGCTCGCCTGGCATGCCCGGGGCGCTGGGTTCGATCCTCAGCACCACATAAAATAAAATAAAGATATTGTGTCCACCGAAAACTGAAAAATAAATATTAAAAAATTCTCTCTCTCTCTTTTCTCTATCTTTAAAAAATAAAAAGAGAAGGTCAGTTCCTGGAGAACAGGAATCAAGGAAGAAAAAGCCAGAATTCTATTAGCATTTGTAGCCTTGGTAATGATTGGATCTCATTCTCAATGGAGAGCTGTAATTGGATTTACTTCTTAAAAAGGATTATTGGAGAATGGAATCTCAAAGGGCAAGTGTGAAAGAGAATCCAGCCTAGGTGCTCTATCAGTGGGCCCAGGTGAGATGACAGCAGCAAAGAGAGATAGAAGTGGTCAGACTGGGGTTAAAGTCTACCAATGAAGTCAGAAGAACACGCTGATGAACTGATATGCAGGATGAAAAGAGGAATCAGGTATGGCTCCCATGTTAAGGTTTCAACATCTGGATGATGACTCTCAATGGCATGAACTGCTATGGTGAAGAGTAGAGAGCAAGGGGTGGGAGAGATGAGATTAAGAGTCAAGAGTAACTTTCCTAATCCCTAAGAGATGAGTTTGGCAAACTGATCTTGATGGGTGCTGAAGCCCTTCTGACATGAAAGTATCCTATAAATTCTATGGCATTTACCCTGCCCCACCCCCATTCTCAAACCAGATCACTAGCCTGTATAATCATTGGCCCTTATGCATCTGGATCCTACCTTTTCTCTCATGGCCCATTTCCATGTGGCACTCCTCCCTCCCCATCATTTCTCTCCATTTCATAGGAACCTATTATCTCAGATTTCTAAGTCCTCATCCAATCTCTTTGCCCATACTTCTTTTTCTTTCCTATACCTCTGGTTCTTGTCTATCTGTTCTACTTTCTCCCCTTCCTGTCCATACTAGGTCAAGGCTGAAATAATTCTAAGCATTTCAGTTGCCAAAAGGACATTTGCCAGTTTCCTTCCAGTTCCTTATTACTAAGGTAATTTCTAGGAAGATGTGTCATCTTTGGACACTGTTATAATTTGGCAATACACACAATGACCAAACCCCATCTTCTGAGAATTCAAGTTTCTATAATTTTCAGAAGAAATCAGGTTACAGAGACAAGAAGTCCTCAAAATATGAATGTTTTACAGTTTAAAGTTGAGAAGCTAACTGGAATGTAGTTTCCACATGGTAACAAAACATTATAAAGGCTTAGTCTAACACATACTGCTCATCAATCTATACCCCTCATGTATTTGAAACAAGTACAGAGCCAGGAAAGGTTTCTGGAGCTGTGGGGGAGGGCCACATTAACAGCTCTCAATTCTCAATGCAAAATTCTGTTATTCCCCAGATGGTTGACACAGGGACTGCCTAAAACTTCAGAGTCCTTCCCATCCCTCTCTACCAAAAGGAACAAGGCCAACTCTGGAACCCTCCCAGAAAAACCACATAAGAATAAGATTAGTATAAAGGGGTGTTTTGCTCGAGCAGCTATTATTATCTATAATTTTTAAAACTTAGTCTTAAAGAAGTCAAGTTATATCCAAGGTTTAGAAACTAAATAAGTATAAGAATCAGGATTGGAAGACAGGTCTTATTCTGCATTATTCCATTGCCTTAGCACATCTTAAGTTCAGAAATTTCATATTACTTTTCAAAAATATTTCTTTTGGAACCAAATGCCAAATGTTTTCTCTGATATGGGGATGCTGATCCATAGGGGATGGGGGGGGGGGTGCAAGGGGGGGATGGGGGGAATTTAACATGGGGAAAAGGGGGGGGGGGGGAGGGGTGGGGGCAGGGGGACAGAAAAGATGTGGAATGAGATGGATATCATTACCCCAAGTACATGTATGAAGACACAAATAGTGTGACTCTACTTTGTGAACAACTGGGACAAGAAAAATTGTGCTCTGTATGTATACTATGAATTGAAATGCATTCTGCTGACATATATAACAAATCAGAATTTTAAAAAAGTTTTTAAAAGTTTTAAAAAGTTAAAAAAAAGAAATTTCTTTTGGGAACAGATTCCTACAGATATTTTTTTTTTTTTCTTTTTCCTAACAAGAGCTATTACTAAAAGTAAAAAAAAAAAAAAAAAAAAGTCATCACAAATATCACAAATTTATTTAGCAGAAGGTCAGAAAAAAAACTGGCCAAAATAATTAGGAAAAAAAATATCAAAATTTCAAAGTTTCAAGTGGAAGTCTGACTTTTTGACACAGCAGTGCCACCATTTAAATGTCACCTCCTTTTTAAACTTCTAAATCAGAAAGATACTTTTGAGAATTTCTCTGATAAGAAATAAGATTGTTTGAGACTAAACAGATATATACTCCTTCTATATAGAATAAGAAACCAAAATACCAAACAAATAAACCGAATTGGACAATACTGTCTTTTACATTCTGCTATGCAAAATTGCAACTTACCATATCTGTGCTAAAACAGGCTGAGGTAATCCAGATTGAAAAAAAAAGTTCCTTGCTTGATCACCTGTAAATTAAGTGAAAAAAGTTTCAGAAAAAACAAAAGTTGCTGGAATTCCACTCCTAGCAAAAAAATCACAAAAATAAGAGTGATAATCCTATAAATATTGAATTGAACATATGATAAAAGCCAAATGGTGAACCTATAAGCAACAGTAGAATGAAACCATCAGCACTAACCCAAAACCTGAAGGCTCTAAAAAATCATCTCAGAAAGGGCAACTATTTGCTGGGATAGGTTGTCCACTTTAATATGCTACTAAGAAGTTAGCTACCCCTTGTGAATACTCTAGACTGGATACTGAATGTCCCCCATAGGCCAATGTGTTAAAGGCTTAGTCATCAAGTTGGTCCTGGGGAAAAGGGGGGTTGGAACCTTTTAAGAGGTTTGGCCAAGTGGGTGGTCTCAGATCATCAGGGGTGTGCCCCCAAATGGGATAAAGGGACCCAGCCCTTTTCCTTTCTTTTGTAGCAGGCCCTGAGGTGAACAGGTTTCTTCTATCAAACACTTTCACCATAAAGTACAGTGTCACTATTGGCCCAAATCAACAGTGCTACTCAGTCACAGAATGAAATCTCCAAAAATATGAGCCAAATAAACCTTTTCTTAAGTTGATTATCTCAGATATTTTGTTACAAATAATGGAAAGCTAACTAGCACAATGACAAAGCACATCTACAGATCTACAGGAATCCTTAGGAAACAACTGATGAGCCATTCTTCTACTTTATTTATTTATTTATATTTTTAGTTGTAGATGGACACAATACATTTATTTTGTTCATTTAGATTTTTTATTTGGTGCTGGGGATCAAACCCAGAGTCTTATGCGTGCTAGGCAAATGTTCCTCCACTGAGCCATAACCCCAGCCCAGATATTTCTACTTTATAAAACATTTTTTGCTACTCTCAATACCTAATGCTCCAAATTTGGGGTACTTCTTATATATTTATGGAAAATATAAAACAATTACATCAATTATGAAAATAAATTAGGGAGAGCTATGATACAAACACAAGCAAAAATATTTCCCCAGGAAATCCATAACCCATTTTTCCTAAAGTGAATTCCTGAAGAGTAATCAAACAGGAAAGATAGCAGAAAAGGCAACATATGAAAGGAACTTTAGAGAGATAGGAAAAGTCCCTTTTAAAAAATGTTCAGAATCTGTTAACAGTTTCCCAAACCAGCTCAGGATGAAAAGTGAGCAAGTGTTTTAGCTTTAGAGTCACAGTCTACCCCTCCCTTACTTAAAGAAAACAACCTGGTCCTTTGAAGGTAACCAGTTGCCATCAGTGATATGCCCCAGACAAGTAAGTGGCTTGATATGCACAAAGAATACAAACAAAGTTTGAATGGATAGGAGAAAAGCAATCATAAATTACAGGATCACGGTTAATAGCAAAACAAGTCAACTGTCTCCTTGGTTATATGTGCCAACCTCTGGTTATATGTACATAATAGATTTCTACAAATATATGCACTAATGTTAAGTAAGACTATGAAAATAGTGACTCCCATTACCAGTAATAAATCCAGATATCGGCTTTAAACTATGGAACTGCTGATCATGCTTCGCTCTTTCCTCAACAGTTATGGCCCAGATATCCAGGCTGCCTACAGGCCAAATAAAAGATAAGTTATTCAGTGAGAAAAACAAGATGCTCACACACACAATCCATAGCACTTTCACACACACACAATCCATAGCACTTCCAGGTTCTGTCAATGTGTAATAAATGGTTTGATAAAATAACATCTGCTTGTCTTTGGAAGGAATGTATATAAAGTTAGAAAATCTAAGGAAAGCAGAACCAAAACCAAATTGGCATAATTCATTTTTTTTAGTTGTAGATAGACACAATACCTTTTTTATTTTTATGTGGAACCGAGAATTAAACCCAGTGCCTCACACATGATAGACAAGTGTTCTACCACTGAGCTACAAACCATAGCTACCACAAATTCCTTTTTTAGAAGCTTGTCTATAACCCTATAGTCAGGATTTATGAAGATAGTGAATTCATAATTTATTTACATATATCTAACCAACAGATTAATTAAAACTTAAAACTGCACCGCCAGATGCCTTAAATGTTATAGTGAAAAGTTATGAAATAGGTAAATGTGTAAGGCCATGGGTTCAATCTCCAGGATCAAAAAAAAAAAAAAAAAAAAATACAGCATTTAACAATTTCCTAATAAGGTCAGGAAAAATTACCTGAAAACATATTTTATGCAGATTGTTATGTTTCAAATAGATAAACTAAAGTAAAATAAGTAAAAATATCACACTTCAAATTCAGGCTTTGAAAAAGTAGAGAATAAATGATCCAGATACTTCACCAAATAAATTGAAAAGAAAAAACAGGGACAGAGGGAAGAGTTCACAAACCAAGAGACTTAGGAGACAGATGAACTACCCTGCAACACAGGAACTTTATTTGGATCCAAATTTAAAAAACAACCTTAGCAAAAAAAAAATATCAAGACTATTAGGGAAAGTAATTATAAATTTTATAGGTATGACAACGTAGTATATAAATTTTTATAAGTTTGATAATGGTATTATAGTTATGTCTTAAAAATGTTATCTTCTAGATAAACATCCTAAAATATTTATGGATGAAATAAAATGATGCCTGGGAGTTGCTACAAAAGAATCCAGATGAAACAATATTGGCCATGAGTTGATAATTATGGAAGCCATATGATGGAGTACATGAGGTCTGACTTATTATTCACTCTAATTTTGTCCCCCCTCCCCTTTTTATCCTTTAGCAGCACTGGGGAATTGAACCCAGGGCCTCACACATGCTAGACAAGAGCTGGCCAATTCACTCTACTTTTTTTTTTTTCCCTGAAATCTTCTATTATAGATAGTAAGTTTTTAAAATCTGGCCCTGAAGTACATTAAAAAAGAGAAATTTCCAAAAACTTACCACCAAAAGGTGTTGGAAACTGAGCCATGGTTCTGTTACTTTTGCCTTGCTAATTGGGGCCTGTAATTGAAATGCAACAGTTACGTTTATGAAAAATTCACTCCTGTACACTTAATTATAAACACACTAATATATGGTCTTTATCAGAAGACAACACTAGAACTGGAGTATGGCTCTACAAATCAAAGTTACAATGAAAGGGTTTCATCCTTTTATTCTCTGAATAGACTCAGTGTCAGATATAGTGATAGACACAGGAATGCCTATTGAGACTGGCAACTTGAAGCTATCAGAGGCGAGTAATACCATTACCATAGGACAGCCTATTGTATCATTAGTGCTATAAATGTTACTTTTTAGGTTTTCTTTTTCTCCCCTCAACTGTCTGGATACACCACTCCATCAGTTTGATGGTTACAGTAGCTTATTATTGAGCACTTGTTGTAAATTGTACATTGTAGTAGGTGTTTTATAGGTCTTATGCTCCACTCACTGTCATCCCAACTCTGTGAGATAGGTACTATTACCACCATCCCCATATTACAGATGAGGAAAATGAGAACAAGAAAGGAAAGTTGTTATGGTTTGTATATGGGGAGTCCCCTAAAAGCTCCTGTGTTAATGCAGGAATATTTGAAGATTAAGTAGTTGGATTATGAGAGCCATAACATAATCAGTCCATCCTAATTTGAATGGACTGATTGGGTGGTAACCGTAGGCAGAAGGGGCATGGTTGGAGGTGTCACTTGGAAGGGTCTCATTTTCCCTATGTCCTCTCTCTACTTCCTGACTGCCACGGAGTGGAGCAGCTTCCCTCCACCATACCCTTCCGCCAGGATGTTCTGCTTCACTTTGGGCCCAGGGGAATGAACTTGGCTGAATATGGACTGAATCTCTGGAGCTGTGAGCCAAAATAAATATCCCCTTTTCTAAGTTATTCTTGTCAGGTAGTTTGGTCACAGTGACACAAAGCTGACTAACATAGAAGTAATTACAGCAATACCATACATTTGGTGACAATGCTGGGATTTGAGCAAAGGCAATTAACTTCACAGCCTGTTTCACCTACGAAAAACATTCTCTGAATTGCTGTTTAAAGATTATGAGAAAGGAGTAAACAATACATACTCCATGAATGTTTGCTCAGAATACAAACAGGTATCTAATGCTCCAAAACTTCCCATTAGACATTACTAATCATGAACAGAGATATGAAACAAAGACAGTCCACTTTCCTAACTTTAAAAAAAAATGCAGATTTAATGAATATTTTTTCCTTACACTTTAGTTTAACATAGTAAATGCACAAAGTTGAAAAAAAGACTACCAAATACTCAGATTAAAAAATTTTAGGTAAATTTAGATCTAAAAACATAAGAATCACATGTACCAATATACTCTGATTTCAATTTTCAATATGTTCATGAAATTTCCCCCCACTATTATACTTTCAAATTTCCAAAAGCTCCTTCTCATTCTTGACTCTATTCCTAGTACTTTCTCTATTTTTAAAATTTTTAACTGATTATTTGGTTCATTTTGTTTCTTAATTTTCATTCATTTCGTGAATCATTCATTTCCTCCAAGTTCCTTTTTTGTTTGTTGGCAGGCTAACTGATTAGGTGTCCTTCACTTTTGAGGATTTCATCACAATCCAATGATCCTTGGATGCTCCTTCATTTTTTATTTACATATGACAGCAGAATGCATCACAATTCTTATTACACATATAGAGCACAATTTTTCATATATCTGGTTGTATACAAAGTATATTCCCCCCAATTCATGTCTTTATACATGTACTTTGGATAATAATGATCATCACATGCCACCATTATTTATAACCCCATGCCTCCTCCTTTCCCCTCCAACAACTGGACAGTCCTTCATTTTTAGAGTGAGGCACTAACTCAGATGCTTGGCTCAGGAGGAAGGCATGTTGACTGATGGCTGCTCCATACGATGACCAGGGGCACAGAGTTGCCTTTTCACTGGGAGACCTCCCAATGCTAGTATTCACTGAAGCAGCCTGCCTTTGCCAGAAAAAGTGTTGGGTGGGATGAGAAGAGTACAGCATCATCTAAATGCTGGCCTGGGGAGAGAGAAGGTGAGGCTCCTACACTACAGAGTGCAGATGTCAGCCTCTTGCTTCACCCCTCTATCCTGGAGCTTCTCTGATACCAGCATCTTTCCCACCTCCCCAGAAAAAAAGGAGACTGAAGCAGTCCCTTTTCTGCAAGGGGTATAGAACATTATGGTCCAAAAAAATCTGAATGAGACATTTAAAGAGTTCCCATTTTAAGCTGCTGCCTTTGGGAATACCTGGCAGGTCCAAGCAAGTGGAAGCCTCTCAAGACACCCTGGGGCAAGCCAGCACTCTAGCTCCTCTTTGTTGACTCCTGTAGGGAGTTAATTTCTATCCTCCTCTGTGAACTCTCTTACCAACTCCTTCATTCCCTTATGGTTTACAAAATACTGCTAAAATCGTTTGTCTAGATTTTCTCTACTGTTATCTTATGCCATCATATCTTATCTTCTACTGTTCCTGAGTTAGCATCTATTGTGCCTCCTGTATGATTGTGGCAACCTTTAAAGAAGAAGGAAGAACATGTCATCAGCCCACCATAGTTAGGTGGGTACCTGAGAATTCAGTTTTGAACAGGATTACTTCTTATGACAAGTCCCTTAGAAGCTGCAGGTGCTGACCTCTTCCTTCACTGCTTTTCACTCCATATATTATATTGGCAGGTAAAATTACCTGGTAATTTTCTAAAACTTATTTTTGGGGCGAGGGGTGCGCCAGGGATTGAACTCAGGGGCATCAGACCACTAAGCGACATCCTCAGCCCTACTTTTTGTATTTTAGAGACAGGGTCTCAACTGAATTGTTTAGCACCTCTCTTTTTGCTGAGGCTGGCTTTGAACTAAAGATCCTTTTATCTCAGCCTCCTGAGCCACTGGGATTACAAGTATGTGCCACCATGCCCAGCTCCAAAACTTTTTAATGCATTTTATCTCACTCAGTCCTCTTAAAATTCTTTCAAAACTGACCTACCATACACCTTTTTATTGAGCATTCAAAAAATGAAAAGCCCCAAATTTTTAAATCATACTAAAACAAATATTCAAAATACAGAAGAGGAAAATGCATTCTGTTCATGTTCATTCTGGTTTACTTCAATTCTTCATTGTTCATGCAAAATACAAAAAAAGTTATTGATTTCTTTGTACCCAGTCAAGTTATACTTTATCCATATTTTCTTACTGGTGCTAATCCATCTAGCAGGTGAATCTCTTGAAAGATTTTAGCCTTATATTATTAGTTCAAAGTGATACAATCAAGCTATAAAAAAAAAACTGTAATAGCAGTAATTTTGATATTGTCTCTGATTCTTGTGGTGATAGTTTTCAGTACTTTGTATTTTAATAAGTTTATTTTTAGCTGTATTTTGGTAGTCTTTAGGGTGTTTAGATAGTTTCCTTCTATTCCTATTTTACTTAACATTTTTATTAATTAACAGCTGGGGGGTGAGTGCTGGGGTTGGAACCTAAGGCCTTGGGCATGCTAGGCAAGTACTCTACCACATCCCCAGTCCCTTCTTTTCTTTCTTTCTCTTTTTTTGAGATAGGATCTTGCTAAGTTGCCCAAGATTCTTCTGCCTCAGACTCCCAAGTAGCTGGGATCACAGACTTGTGCCAGCTTAAATATTCTTTTCAGAAGATTTTCTTCTTAAAATCTAAAATAATCATGTATTTTTCCTTTAATTAACATCCTAAATTATAGTGATGTATTACCTAATATTAAATTATCCTAGGTTTAATTTGCTATTATTTTCTATAGAATTACTGCTTGAAAAGATGCTATGCTTAATTCTATGCAATAAAGTTGCAAATATAGAGGGAATGGATACACTTCTACTTCCCTATAAATTTCTAAAAGTAACCTTTAAAAAGGTAAGAAACAATAATGCATCACAGATATAATGGAAATATAAAAACATAAAATTAAAAAGGAATAAGAAAAAAATTATTTTGGAAGTGAGTTTGAACTCACCTTCTAGGAACAAATATAACCTGTTACCAAAAACGATTCACAGAAAAAGGTCAAACACTTCTCAATTTATTTTATGAAGCTAGCATTCTCTTAATTCTAAGTTATGATAATGAAAGCATTAAAAAATAGGCCATTCTCACTGATTGAGAGGGTCATAACTAGACATAAGTATAATAACTTATGACTTGAAGTATACTTGAATTATCATCAGTTCCTGCAAAGCACCGAAGATGATTTGCTGTTTACCATCCTACACTGGTATTTAGGAAACAACTACCTGTCCTATGTGAATCTCTTCCCTCAAAGCCTTCGCCTTATGACCAACATTAGACTATATTTATCTTTTGGTCCTTCTGACAGCTATCTCTACTTCCCCTGCATCTTACATCTGTTAAGTGACAAGCAAATGGACTGCAGAGTCCACCCTGCACTTGCCACTAGTGTTACTGTACCTTTCTCTTGCTTCCCCTCTCTAACTCAAGCCCTATTCCTTTAGAGTCAGTGGTCTGGCTATTAGTTAGAACCTAATAAGAGCGAAATCACTCACAGGTATGGAAGAAGGTGTGCCTTCCAGGCTTACCTACTCACAGACAGCCAAATGCTGCTGAAGCATGAGGATTAAATATCCCCACTTATCTTCCTTCTGCCCCCAGGTCCTTCCAATGCCATCCACAGCTGGGTCCTCCCACAACTCCCAGGGAACCCCAGACAAAAGTAGCAACATGTAGAGGAAGAACTGAGTTAAGGCCTGGAGATATAGCTCAGCTGGTAGAGTGCTTGCACTCGGCCCTAGGTTCAATCCCCAGCACCATAAAAGAAAAAAAAAAAAAAAAACTGAGTCAAATCTTCCAAATCTTTCTCCTTTTCAGTTCTATGCTACCTGGATAAAACATGGTGATAACAACAAGGCTTAAAATGTTTTGTTCCTATTTTTACATATATTTACAACCTGCATTACTATAATTTAAAAAATAATTTGTGAAGGGCCACTATATTCTAGAAAAAT